GTGTATTTGCCGAGGTTCGTTCGGATCCTAAATCTCTAATTGGGTCAGAATTTCTCAAACGGGCCACCTGAATTAGGTCAAAATTAGTTTTTGTTTGTAGATACATTTTTTTGATAGTATTTTACATCACTAACACAAATCCTAAAGGATTTTGTAAAAAAAAAATTTTCAATTGACATATTCATGATATTAAAAGTCAAAGTTTTTAATAATTAAAAAATAAAAAAATTCATTATGGCTAAAATAATTATCCGATTCCAACGATATAACTAGCGTTGGAATCTTGTTTTGACATAGATTCTTTGTTATTTTTTTCAATTGTCCTATTTTCATTTAGGTCGATTTTTTTTTGTTTTTTTTATACCAAATTCGGAAATAATTGCCTTCTGCGCCAGCTATCGACTCGAGAAAAAAAACACATATACTCCAATCATTTCTCGAAATTATGCTGCTGAGAAAAAAAATGGCCCGCAGGTTGACAAAAAGTTATTCGTCCTTTTGTGGCCGCGCGCGGTGTCAGCTCACGCTCCGAACCGTGTACGCTGTACGCGCTTGTGACGCGAGGTCTTACGGTGGTCTGGAACCTGCGGGCCATTTTTTTTCTCAGCAGCATAATTTCGAAAAATGATTGGAGTATATGTGTTTTTTTTTTCGAGTCGATAGCTGGCGCAGAAGCCAATTATTTCCGAATTTGTTATAAAAAAAACAAAAAAAAATCGACCTAAATGAAAATTGTACAATTGAAAAAAATAACAAAGAATCTATGTCAAAACAAGATTCCAACGCTAGTTAAATCGTTGGAATCGGATAATTAGTTTAGCCATAATGATTTTTTTTTATTTTTTAATTACTAAAAACTTTTACTTTTAATATCATGAATATGTCAATTGAAAATTTTTTTTTTACAAAATCCTTTAGGATTTGTGTTAGTGATGTAAAACACTATCGAAAAAATGTATCTACAATCAAAAACTAATTTTGACCTAATTCAGGTGGCCCGTTTGAGAAATTCTGACCCAATTGCAATGCAGCCAGTGTCAACTTATATACTTAACGATTGGTGCCACATAAGCGAGATGTATTATGCAATGGGGGTTGCCCATGATAAGTAGATTTCAACTTTATTATAGTAGATGCCTACTTATTATAGGCAACCAATACTGCATATTGCAACTGTTAACAATTAATATATCAATGTTATTTGACAACTTTACCCTTATATGTCTGAAACACAATAACCGGACCAAATTATAATATTATTATAAAATTTGTTTATCAATGAAGAATTCTTTAATAGTTTACATATATTATTAAAAATCTCTTGGTTTCTTAATACTAAATATTCTCAGTGTACTTAAATAATTTCGTTTTTCAATTTCATTTCTTTTATTTATCATTTTTTAAATTTTAAAAATATACTAATACCCACAATATTGTGCAAATACATATCTATTATTATAGGTATTATATTTATATATAATTATACCATATTATATTATAATATTAAATTCTTTAAATTTGGTTGTATTATTTTTTTTAGTTTTATTTTTTGAACCTCTGTATTTGGAAATTGAAATTTGTACTCTGGGTACTACTTTTTGACTTAAACCAATTTTGAAAAATTTCTAAAATGGCGTCGTACTGTAAAAAGGTCACATTTTTTTCAATGGGAAATGGAATCATTACCGAAAAGGTATTTATTGCAAGCTGATACTTTATCTAATTTATGAAGCTGATCAAAACCAACTCACAATGGATTTTAAACCAACTACTAATTTTTCAGATTCTTTACAGGGTATGTCAGAAGTAAGAACAAACAAAAATCGCTTTTTATGAGTAGCTATAGCTAGGGACAATATTCAACATTTAAAAATTATTTTTATTTTAAAAATTTAAAATTTTAGTATTTTAATAGGTAACATTTTTTGACATGCATGGATTAAAAAAAAACAAATGACGTCGTACTGCCAAGGTCACATTTAAAAAAATTTGAAGTGAGTGAAATATCATTTCAGGTCTTTTAAAGCGTAACTACTTATTTTTTCGATTGTACAGGGTGGAACAAAAAAATTCTACTTTCACCAAAAGCGCCATTTTCAAAAATTTTCAAAAAATAATAACAGTAACATACAATACAAAAATAACACGTTAACACGTAATAACACGTAAATCTTTTGTTGATAATTTTTTACAATTTAAAAAATAAGTAGGTACTTGCAAGTACTTGCAACCATGATTATGAGTAGGTACCTACATGATTTTTCACATGACCATTGAATAAAATGTGTACTTTTGAAAGTACGACGCTATTTTCAAAATTTTTTACGTCATAAAGCAGTAGGAACCGGAATCATAAAAATCTATTTGATGTTTATTACATATTAAATTAAGATACATTATTTTTTTATTGATTTTAAACCATATTTTCATTTAATCGACCAAGTACTATAGTATAAGTAGCCAAAAAATTCAAGGAACTTTGCGTTATTTCTTTCATCATGCTAGATGCAAAAGTAATTTCAAAATATGAAATTTGCTGTATTTTAATGTTTGAATTAAACTGATTGGTAAGGAAAAGTATCCACTGATTTTATTGTTTAAAATAATCGGCGTCAATTTCAATTAATAGAATTTACTTACGTTATTTTACTCAATGATTGGAATTAACCATTTCAATCAATAAAAAATAAAAATTATGTTTGCCTATTTCACTCATTAAAAATAAAAGTCCATTCATTGAAATTAGTTTAATTCAAACATTAAAATACAGTGAATTTCATACTTTGAAATTACTTTTGCATCTAGTTCGTCTAAATAATATGTATGACAGATTTCTTATGTCAGTCTTACCTTACAAAGTGACCTTAAACTTATGTAATGGTATGACAGATTTCTTACGTCAGTCTTACGTAAGAAAGTGACCTAAAACGTATGTAATAGTATGACGTATTTCTTACGTCAGCCTTACGTAAGAAAGTGACCTTAAACTTAAGTAATATTATGACAGATTTATTACGTCAGTCTTACGTAAGACAGTGACCTAAAAGTTATGTAATATTATGACAGATTTCTTATGTCAGTCTTACGTAAGAAAAGTGACTTTAATATTACGTCACGATATGACTTTAATATTACATAAGATGTACGTAATATGTAAGTCATTTAATTACATCATATAAAAGTCACGTTTTGGGTCAGTATTATGTCACTATGACGTAAAAATTGAATTACCTAGATATGATCTACGTGTTACGTAAATTTTAGGTCATAAGTCACGGTTTGGTTCACTGGGGACACATGAAACAGCTTGTCTATGCAGTCGAAATTACCACCGAAGAGCAGCTTATGCAAAGAATAATAGATGCTGCGGAGCAAATACAAAATGTACAAGATTTTGGACGAGTTTAAAATTCTGTTGTTTTGCGGTGCCAAGCTTGTATTAATGCTGAAGGTTATGTTTTTGAAAATGTCCTGTAATATTACAGATAAAAATAAATAGTATAAACTACAAATTGGTCAATTGTCAATCAATAATTCTTGCTGACATATTAGCAATAAACTGACAGGTTGTATTACTTAAATAAGGCAGAAGACCACATAAGGTTATTTTTTTTATCTGGACTAGTGTTTTTTTATTAAGTTGGTTGTTTATGTCAGTTTGATTAGTATTTTTAGGATTGGTATCTCTGTTTTACATAATTTGACAGTTTTTGTCAAATCATTAAATTTAAACAAAGGAATATCAAACTCCAATGTATTTATGTAATTTAAAAAACGTCTCTGTACAAATAATTATCCAGGACAATAACGAAATACTATTTTGGTCAAAAACCTATTAAAAGGTAAATATTTTTTGATTTCTTAACCACAAATATTAATTTAGTTTTATAGCTGCCAATATAATAGAAATATTTGCCAACTAAACCCCTAAGTTTGCAACGTTGCCGCAGTCCAGATAAAAAAATGAATTGTATTATAAACTTAAATACTTATACGTTTCCATGGATGTATATTTTAGTTGCTAGAATTATGAATCCTATTATTGCATATTGTTATCCTTTCATTGTTTGAATTCAAAACTTTGAACTCGAATAACTTGAAAACCAAAAATGATAGAACAAAAAAGTATTAAAGATTTTTATTTAGAATGACGTTTTGAATATAGAATTTCATTTTTCGCCTCCTGGTATGAAACACCCTGTATATGTAAATGGAACAGCCTGGTTTGCTGGGATATTATGTTTTGTGTTACTTTTTTCTTATTCTGTAAGCAAGTTTTAGTTTTTTTCTGGATTTTTTGGTTTATAGAAACATTGTGTAAAATTTTTGGAACAATATTCCTTCACCAAAAACGTTACATTTATACAGTGACGGCTGGTGGATTTTGGGCACACCCATACCTCAGTTATTAGACATGAACCCACATCAATTTTTTGAGTTTATAATGACACTATATAGACAAGTTCTGCGCAAGCAGAATTTAAATTGAAGTTTGGGAAAAATAGTTCGTTTTTAAGTGTGCCCGGGATCCTGCCCCCCCAAATTAAAATAATTTAAATTAAAGTGGTACAATATTTAATTCACTGAAGTTTATTGACAAATTTTATTAAAAAAATTCAAGTTTTACAGATTTTATTTTTTTTTAAATTTACCAAAAGAAATAATAAAAATTTAAAATGGTATAAAACCTATAATTATTTAATTTTTTTAATAAAATTTGAATTAAGTGAATTAAATATTGTACCACTTTAATTTGAATGATCTTAATTTGATGGGCAGGAGGCTGGGGGGCACACTTATAAGTTATAACAACTAACTTTTTTTCGCAAACTTTAATTTAAATTCTGCTTGCGCAGAACTTGTCTATATGGTGTCATTATAAACTCGTATACATTTGATGTGGGTCCCATGTCTAATAACTGAGATTTGGCGTAAAATCCATGGATATTTTTCAACCCACAGCTGCTGTGCACAGTAGGAAAACCTTTATCTCTGGGAAAGTTCATACAACCGGCAACCCTGGTTTACAGTTTCAATGTTTTTTACTGGTGCTGTGTCATTAATAATCAAAACATAGCGGCTTTATCGGTGTTTTTCCTAAATATCATGCACAATTATGATTAATCATTCAATTTAGTGCAAATATCCACGAACAATAAACATGGTCAGCTTAACCAGAAGCTTAAATACCAATTCTGGGGTAAGTAAATGCCAAATTTCACAATATAACCTAACTTTATCATGAATCATACTTTAAATTAGTTGTTTTTATTTACAGGGCGCAAATTTTTTTAGCGAATCCGTTAACGTGGACGATCGTGAACATCTGCAGCCCATTTTGGAGTCATTCGGAGTTTTTAAACCGTTAAAAACCGCGCCTTTGTTTAGTTTGCATTTGGTTTACACCACTGCATTAAACATTCTTGCTATAGTTTTTGCTGTTAGACACCCTGACCAAAACAGCAGATGTCGAGAGTATTTTATACTGATTTACATACATATTGGACTATGGCTGCTGACTTTGGTAAAAAATTAAACCCAATAGAAGTTTGTCAGAACTAATTCAAATTTTAGGTTGTAGATCAATATACGAAGAGGGCCCATCATAATTTGAGGCTTAATGGGTACCTGGATTTTTACCAGAAGGTTTATTTACATACCCATTTGCCTATTTATGTGGTCAGTTTGTGGAGTGTTGCCTTGATGCTGGTTCAGACCATAATGCAACATTTTTACCCTGACAATTTTGCAGAAAAATGCTTACAAGGAGGAATGTCACCTATTACATACATTTGCGCCTTGATTAATATGGAGGGTCTTTGTCTATTGTTTATACATACTCGTTACATAAGTGAGTTTTCATTTTGTTAACTGGGGTTTTTAGGGTTTAATATAATTAATATTTTTGTAGAAGAGGTTTGGAAATTCAATAAACTTAAGGCACCTCCAGATGTGCAAAAAGAGGAATGGGAGGGTTGTACTACCCCAGAAAATTTTGGTCAAAATGAAGTTGGTTATAGACAAATTGGCAACAATGTGTTTAACTTTTTGGAAAAACAGGTAAAAATATTTACTACATTCTTAATGTATTTCCCAGTTCATTAAATTGGGAAAAAGTGAGGTTAAAATGTATAAAATTAACTTAAAATTCTGAAAGATAAAGTATGGCAAGCAATTTGTTTTATAAACTTCTCAAGATCACTTTTTAATTACTTCTCCTTATGAAAATTAGTCAATAGGTCTATAAACTTGCAAACAGTTGTTATAAAACCAAAATAAACAAGGAAGCTTCAGCTAGCTGATGTAAACATCAGTGGCGGCTGGTGGATTTTGGGTATACCAATATTTCAGTAATTAGACATGGGACCCACACCAAATTTATAATAGTTTATAATAACATTAAATAGACAAGTTCGGCGCACAGAATTTAAATTGAAGTTTGCGAAAAAAATTAGTTTTTCCTGCCGCCTCACCTCCAGGCCCCCCTATTTAAGATAATTCAAATTAAAGTGGTGCAATTTATTATCTACTATAATTTATCAACAAATTTAAAATTTTATTTAAAAAATCCAAATATTACAGGTTTTTTACCATTTTAAATATTTTTTTATTTAAAAAAAATAAATAATAAAAATTTAAAATCGAATAAAATCTGTAATATTTGGATTTTTTAAATAAAATTTTAAATTTTTCGATAAATTATAGTAGATAATAAATTGCACCACTTTAATTTGAATTATCTTAAATAGGGGGGCCTGGAGCGGGGTGAGGCGACAGGAAAAAATAATTTTTTTCGCAAACTTCAATTTAAATTCTTTGCGTTTGCGCCGAACTTGTTTATTTAATGTCATTATAAACTATTATAAATTTGGTGTGGGTCCCATGTCTAATAACTGAGATATTGGTATACATAAAATCCACCAGCCACCACTGGTAAACATAGTTGCAAAATATATTTTCTGACATGTTTAAAAAATACTTTAAATCATCATAACTTTCTTTTTATTAACAAATTTTGACATTTTATTTATTTATTTTTATAAATAAATAGTCCCAAAAAATTAAAACAACAATTTTTGAATCTCAATGGAATTTTTTTTATAAAGCGTGGCATACCGTCAGCGCCAGATGTCCGGTATTGTACCGCACATATTCCATTTTAGCAATACCTCGAGTTATACTAAAATTTGGTTTTGAAATATAAAAATTTTAATGTGTAATAAAAAATTTGATTGATATTTGCATTTAATGCATTTAAAACTTTTAAATCTACTATATTCACCCCCTCCCCTTTACCACCAGCCATACAAAATTTGATAACCGCTGACATTTCGGAAGCTATCTAACCTCACTTTATACCTTAATTGTTATTATAATTTTAAGTACGTTTTATGTATTGTTTAAGAAATAAAACTGTGCCTTAAACATAAAATGTATGCAATTCGGCTCAGACCTGTCTTTTTGTGCTTTGCTCAATTGTAAGCTCAGCACAAAAAGACTCACTTCTTAGCCTTATGACATAAATAACTATTATATTAATAGGCTGATTTAATACGACATCTAAAAGAACACAACTCCCGTTTGAGCGAAAAACTAATGATTTTGAGTGCTCAGCTTCACCAAGCTAGGGGCGGAGCGCCCCCAAGCGTTCCACAGGAAATTTAACGATTTGTTTCCACCACTTACCTAAATTCTAGGTATAATGTGATATGAACAAAAAATTAAACAATAAATCTAAGAAAGTGTTTATGATTTTTATTGTACATTGTATATTAATTAAAAGTTTAAGAAATATCTTATTACTAAAGTGACAGTCAATAATAATATATTTTTATAAATAATGTTTAACCTAATAGTAATTAAGTAGGTCTGATTGTAAAATAAATGATTTATATAGTTGAACGAATTTATTTTTTACCCCATAATCATTTTGTGTAACTATAATTTATTATAATAAATTAGTTACACAAAATGATTTTAAATTAGGTAATATTAACAATCTTCCAATTTTTACAGCAAAAAATCCTTGAAACTTGCCAAAATTTTACAATTCAAAATGATAATTATATGCAAATTTAAAATTGTGAAAAATATTATAAATAATATATAATAACACTAGGTGAAAACACGTTTTGTCTACTTTTAAGAAAGCAGATATTTTATCTATATCTTTTTTGTATGACCCCATTAAACAATAAAACTTTAATTCTGCACCATTTGTGGAAACTAGATAAATAAAAATCACAACTTTTCTGGCATTGTAAGTTTTTATGGTAATTTTTTTCAGACAATGAGTTTAATCCTTTGGCTACTGACATTTCGAGTTTTAACTACTTTCACACAGGACACCTATTTCAGTTGCCCAATGTACTAACTTAATTTGGCAATAATCGACCCAAACTGGAGAATTATAATTGCAAAAAATCAAATAATTTACATTAATACTTTACTGCGTATTTTTTGGCAACAATGTAAAAGCTTAAAAATAATAATATTTAACAATACATATTATGTTGGTATAATATTCATACAGTGTGACCCATTTGTTTGCGACTCACCCCTGTAAAATTTTTATTTATTATGCAATTTTAACCGGATTTATTTTTAAGTGTAGATCTTAATAAACTGTATTTTTGGAGCAAAAAACGCCATATTTTTACAAAATACAAGGCCTACTATGTCAGTTTTTAAGAGTACATTTTTAAGAATTCATATTAGCGGGTCGTTTTAAGGGGTGGTAAAGTGCCGTGCTTGGATTTTGTTTTAAAAAATTGCTAATATGAATTATTAAAAATTTACTCTTAAAAACTGACATAGTAGGTCTTGTATTTTGTACTTTTGTTTTTGTTCCAAAAATACAGTTTATCAAGATCTACAATTAAAACAAATCTGGTTAAAATCGTACAAGAAATAAGTGAGTCGCAAACAAATGGGTCACACTGTATATTATATGGGTCGGGAATTTTTTTCTAAAGGCATTTGGGTTTTGAATATACCAAGTGGATTTTTTTTTATTTCTGCTCTCATTTAAACAGGGTAGATCTCGGCATTCATTTTTTTTTCATTTAGCCCGTTTTACAGTCTGCAATTTCGTCTATTGCCGTTTCAAAATATCGGTTCTGCTCGATTTTTATTGCCAGTTGCATGCAAGTCTGGGGGAAATATTGGTAACTTCTTCAAACCAATTTACACTTCAAATTTCTAGAGACGCTGCAGCGCGCTGGTTTGTTTTTTGAAGTCATATGAAATATTTGTTGCTGCTTTTTTGTATTCTAAATTCTATTTCATAATATATATTATAACGTCGTGTGGCAACTTTAATTTTAATGGGGTAGTTAAATTTTTTCTGACCTATACTTTTTATGGTTTTATTCAAGGCGTTTTGTAATTTTAAACATCTTTGTGAAATCGGAATTTCAATTAAGTTTACCGTTTTCGAGATATTTACAAAAAAAAGTCTCCTAATTACGTCACTAGGCTATTGACAACGTTGCCAGCTTTTTCTATGGTGTTTAGTTTAAGATTCTCACGATAGATGGCGCCACGTTATAATATTTTAGTTTTAAAACTACTTGATCTAAAATTTTAGTTGAGAAGAAGAAGAAGAATTGATTTTTTGACGTTTCTTTTTTTCGGGTTGTTTTTTTTAAATTTACATTGAAAATCAATGTTATTGTTATGTTATTTGTAATTGATATTAGATGATAAGTGATTTATTAATAACGGACTCCAAAGCAGAGGAATCTTGTGGAATGGTTGGTTACATTGAACATTGGAGCTTTTAAACAAATAAAGTAAATACCTATAATTATAATCATATTTTGTCGTAAATGCATTTCATTAGTATAATGCCTAGTTCTTTATATTCTTTTAGATATATCTTGGACTCTAAAATATCAAACAGTAATATGATACCTCGTTATAAGTAAGATAGGTACTTAATGAATTTGGTGACCATCTTTCACTCAACTGACAGTGACAGTATTTGTACATAACCTCTTCGGGTATTTTCTGACATAACCGAATGAAATCATTAACAAGACAACTTGACAACAGGGTAATTTTCAACCAATAGAAATCTTAGAATGTTGGTCACATGGTGAGGTTTGTGACGTCATAAAAATGTATATTTTTTGTAAATATCTCGAAAACGGTAAACTCAATTGAAATTTTGATTTCACAGAAATGTTTAATATTACAAAACCCCTTGAATAAAACCATAAAAAGTATAGGTCAGAAAAAATTTAACTACCCCATTGTACCTAAATGCAAATCAAACTTATTACAAATGTATTAAACAAGTGAATGTTCAGTCAATTTTAATCAAACATTTATTAATAAAGTTTTATAAGTAGCTTAGCACAATTTCGCGCGCGGTACAATAAACAGTCCGGGATTTGAGTTAAAAAACGTTGAAATATTAGTTCATTAAGAACTTAAAAAATGTCAATAAAATCGTAATTCATACAGGGTGCATTAAGTTGCGTAATAACGAGTTGCATATTTACAAGTCTATTTATAAAATGGCATTTAAAAATTAAAAAAAATTAGCGATTCTCGAATAATTTAAAAAAAATTAAAAACCTGTCAAAACCAAAAATAGTTATTCCTGGGTATTTTGGAAAAAGTATGTTTTACATGTGTGCACAGAATTATCTACATATTCATCCAATTTGTGATTTTTTTCGCCTAATAAATTTTGAATTATCACCACCATGTTTTGTTTTTCCTATGGCCGCCATATTAGAAAAGTAAATCCCGTATGATCTAGTGGTTATGACAAGCTTTTTTTAAAACTTTTTCCCTGATTAATTCATTAGTATAAATGTTGTAATGTAATAATTATTACAAAAACAAATATATTTTTCTACTCCCACCTTTAACGCCCTTTATCGTACATAACACTAAGTGACCTTTTAAATACACATTGACAAGTTCTGGCTTTACGGCGTTTTAGTCACGGGCTGAAGTTAGCAACAGATTTTTAGTCACGGGCTGAAGTTAGCTTTAAGTTAGTTGACAGTTGTCATATGTCATACAATTGTTAAAATAAAGTGCCCTTCTAAAATAATACTAAATGTAAAAATTATTTTATTATCTTAATACAATCTAAAAAATATACATAATATTGTACTGACCTTTTAATTTAAAGTCAGGCTTGGACTCCACCGTGAAGTGCTAATAAAACATTTTCTTCACTTTCACTGTGAAAACTGTTGTTTAATCCATTTTCAAGGGATACATTTTGATTTATTATCTATGTTTATAACACATACAAATTTGACATATGACGGTAACACAGATTCCCCTATTGTTTTATAGATGGCGCTCTATACAAATACTTAATTTAAATAATTTTTAGATAAGTATTTGTCGTAGAAAAAGTATAGCATGCAACTCGTTTATAAACTTTTCTAGACACTCATTAATTTAAGCACTCGCTCGTCCCTAAATTAAATTCGTGTCTAAAATGGCGTTTATCAAACTTGATACATATATGTATATTATATATATAATAATATAATATAATATACTATTAAATGCATTTTGCATGTCTCTCGTCGAAGAGGCTCGGATACCGAAATACTTTTTAAAAAATAAATATTTTAAAATAAAATTTCAAAAAATGTGAAAGTACGTTTCAATATCAAGTCCAAAAAAAAATAGTAGATTTTTGGAATCACCATTAAATGTTTATTATAAATCCTAGGTATTGCTAAAATTGTTTAAAAAAAATCGTACCTTAAAACGTAATTACGGATACATTAATGTATCCTGAAAAGGGCATTTTTTCTGTGACATGTAAAATGATTTTCATTGAAGAATCCAACTACTTGAAATATCTTGAGGAATTTACACAAAAATAATACACATTGCATTATGCAACGAGAAGGTCGCAGCAGATTCAAATGGTCTTGTATATGTGAAAGCAAAATTATTAACTTGAGTGGCAAAGTGATTTTGTCAGAGTATTACTTACGATTTCAAGCGACCTAAACCGCGAAAGAAATGATTAATTTTAAGAATACGATTTGTTAAGGAGATATGATGAGAGTAAAGACTTTTTGGATTTTGTGTTTTGTTTTTTTGAGTGTTACGTGTCAGGATAACAAAACAAAAACAGGTGAGTCGGGATAATAAAGTTGTATTACTTTAACCTGAGTCTTGATAATAGAAATATTTTTGTTTTTGTAGAAGAAAATCAAAAGAGAAAATAACTAAGATGTTAATAACAATTTAATATTTATAATTATCAAAACAATGCAAAATTAACGGCTTTTAATTTAATTACAAGGTTATTATACGTGTCTTTAATTACAGGTGAATGTTTCGATTGCGGTATTTTTGAATTCTTTAATTCGACTAATATAATTTTAATTACATTCCGATATTTAAATGACATTAAATTGGCATATGTGGAAATTCAAGTATGGAAACAAGCATTTAAATGATTAAAATAATTATCTAAAAAAAATATTTTAAAAATAAACAATAAAAATAACAATAAAGTTGCTATTCTTAGGTGATTATTTTTAAATCATTAAAAGGGATAATTTTATAAAAAATTTTGTTTACCCCTATTTAACCTTTAGACAAATTCCATTTTAAACCCCACTGCATGTATTAATTATACGGTTTAATTGATCCTTGAGGAACAATTATTAATCACTATTAAAATGATTGTTTATTAAAAAAAAAATAAGTGGTTTTTCAAAATTATGTTATTTAATTTTTTTAGTATCTAAAAAGAATGCAATTAAAGAAATATCCACCAAAAAATCAGTGAGCACCCCCAAATCAATATTAAAAGAAGTAAATACAAATCTTATCATAAAAGATGAAAAAATTAATAAGGCACCCAAGCTGATATGTCCAGGAAAAAATTATCCAAAACCATTTTTTTCTTTACCATGTTCAAAAACGAAAAATTGTTCGTTTATGGGCAAGGGGCTTTTATGCTGTGGGGGAAGGTGCCTAAAGGGAGTCCCACCCCCTAAGGAAGAGATTAAACACGAACGTAAGTAGATGCATGATAATAAAAATAATTAAATAAAAAAACTACTTAATAAATATCCCACTCAGCATGTAAAATTACGGAAATGCTGTAATAGGTATGTCTAAAATATTTCGGTTATATGTCAGACATATTTCGTTGTTATACCTAGAGTTAGGGATGGTCAATTGACCGCTACCTATTTGACCGGTCAAAATATATTTAATTTTTGCAGCATTTTATTTACGTATCAACAATTACCCGTGAATCTCAAAAATTTTGCGATCGTGCAATATCGACATCATTTACAATTTGGTGGTTCCCCGAGTCGAGGGGTTGCTAGGCCGGACTTGCCCTTTAAGCGGGACATATCTTTTTTAATAGCGAAACATAACTTTTTAAAGCCGCACAAAGGTTTCTAGATGGACATAACTTTTATAATAAAAAAATTTAATAACGTAACGTATTTTAATTATTATTTATTAAGCACAAATAAATCACAGTAATATTTATTTTGATATTTTATTTAATTTTATTTTGGTCAATTGACCAAAAACCATTTGACCGGTCAATTCCACAACCCTAGTTATACGGTATACTTATATCTATTACAAAATAAATATGTTTGAAACATTTCAGTCATAGGTATTCTAATAATAATATTTAAAAGCCACTATAAGGCCATTTCTAAGGTTCAAGGCATTAGAAATGGTATTTTTCTTATTTTTCTGTTTTAGTTTAAATAATTTGATAGTTTTACGACGTTGCCAAATTTTTAGTGCTATGTAAATGTCTTGATTTTAATTATAATAATAATTGTCTTGTTATTTTTTAAGTTAATTAACAATTAATACAAAAGATATTTTAAAAGTTTGTGAATATTGCCTATTATCGTTAAATTGGTTTCTATTAATAGAAACCAATAGGCCAATTGACCTCTTTAGGTGATTTTTAACAGGGCATATTGATGCCATTTTTGGCTTTGGACGAATATCGGTCTTTTTTCAGTTTCGTTTCTTCTCAAAAAATGCATTTTAATTATTAATTATTAAGAGAATATGTCATGAACAGGATTCATTAAAAAAAACAGAAATATTTAACTAAAGAAAACTTACCCGTATTTTAAAAACCTAATCTTAATTGAAACTCAGTCCGACTTGTTGCTTAATAAAAACTGCCAATTCTACCTGTGCACCACAATAATAAAATAATAACCCGGACAACAATCGGGATTTCCTGGTGAAGGCATGATGATATCACAACGTGATTTTTTTTTATCACGCTGTGATATCCTGAGTGCATACACATGCTTCAAAACAGTGATATCATGTAGAACTCACGGTGTGATATTTGCAAAATTTGTGCATGCGTATGAGCCCTGCGAACTGCGAATTTAAAACCTAGTTTGTTATTCACATTACACCGTTATAATTTATAAAACGTTGTTTGAATATCACGAATGTTGTCCGGGTTCAATTAAAAAAGATATTCCAATGTTTAACAAAACGTGAACGTTTTGAACATCATGTCGTGATTTTCACAAATTTTATTCACACTGATATCATACGGAAGTCACCGCGTGATAAATGAAAATCATACGAACGTCACGTCTTGATTTTGTATGCCAACGGTGTTTGGATAATCATTTTTGCGCCACGTTCGTACACTAAGAGAAAAATTATGTTGAATCAACAGTTTTTGCGGTTAAATACATTTAATATTTTCTTGGATTTAAATTAACTATATATATGTAGTTAATTTAAATCCAAGAAAATATTGAATGTATTTAACTACAAAAACGGTTGATTCAATATATATGTAGGTATACTTTTTCTCTCAACGTACGAATGTGGCGCAAAAATAAATATCCAAACACCGATGGCATAAAAAATCACGACATGATTTTTTGTGCCATCGGTCAATTGCAAACAGCGATGGCATAAAAAATCACATGATTTTCATTTCTCACGCAGTGACATCCGGATGAAGTCCGTATGAATAAAATTTGTGAAAATCACGACGTGACGTTCGTATAATTTTCATTTATCACGCGGTGACTTCCGTATGATATCAGTGTGAATAAAATTTGTGAAAATCACGACATGATGTTCGTATGAATATCACGAATGTTGTCCGGGAAATTTTACTAATCGAGACAAAAACTATAAAAGATCATACAACAATTTTTTAAGATTCCAAAAATTCCACCGGCATATCCTCAAACCTAATAACAAAAAGTTATAGGCTATTTTTGATTACTCAAAAACTATTTACTTACTTTAGGTATAGGACATGGTATAAGAGCCCTAACCACATAATGTTCGGACACTTCATAATTTATACAGAAATTTTTTTCGTGAATACTATCTCAAAATTATTAGAAGTTATGAAAAATTCAGCTTATTTTGGCATATACCCCTCGAAGCGATTTTTATTTTTAAAAAGTTTACCTTTTATTTTTAGCTTTTAAAAAAAGGCTAACTTTTTAACTTTTTTTTGCATGAGTAAAAAAAGTTATAAATGGGCCCATTAAAAAGAACATAAAATATTATACAAACCCTGAAAATTTGGTAAAAATTGTATAAATAATAAGAAAGTTATAGCGATATATATATCTGCAAAATCTCCCGTTTCCTAAGAAAATTGCAAAAACTCTTTAAAAATAGCATTTTTAAATTACTTATACTTTTTTATAACTTATTTATTTTTTACCAAATTTTCAGGGTTTGTATAATATTTTATGCTCTTTTTAATGGGTCTATTTAAAACTTTTTTTACTCATACAAAAAAAAGTTAAAAAGTTAGCCTTTTTTTAAAAGCTAAAAATAAAAGGTAAACTTTTTAAAAATAAAAATCGCTTCGAGGGGTATATGCCAAAATAAGCTGAATTTTTCATAACTTCTAATAATTTTGAGATAGTATTCACGAAAAAAATTTCTGTATAAATTATGAAGTGTCCGAACATTATGTGGTTAGGGCTCGTAGTAATTTTACTCAGAATTTTATATAGAATTTAAAAATGTAAAAATATATTTAAAATAACAAAGTTGATGTCACTTCCAGTTAAAGCGGAAGTGGTATTTTGTACAAAATATTTTAGAAAAATTGCATAATAATTCCAAAGTAAACTTTATCGTATACGATCAAGCTGATATTTTTGCTTTTTAACCACATGTATCTATAATATTTAAAAATTTTAAAGATGGTTATGGATTTTACAGAATATTTTTGCAAAATAAGAAAGTTTACAAGTGGGTATACCCATAGTTATAAATAGGTATACTATAGATTTAAATAGGTCATTGTATTGGTATACTGTTTATTTTTTTTAAATTATATTTTTCAGTTCCATTAAAGAATTTTTAAGCAATACTTATTATTTGACAGGATTTAAAAGTTTTATTTACTTTTACTCCTTTTTATTGTAAAATGGATATTTATAGGTAATTATGTTTCTCCAAAATGTTAATGTTAAGCCCCTGCTTAAATATAACAGGAATATTTTTGAAACATTACAGTAATATTTCAGTTATAACCGAAATATATTATATTTTAATTAAATATTTCCGACATATTTCGTGCCTTGTGGGATCACCCTTTTTTTACGTCAGAAAAAAAGGCGTAACATTGAAAATAATTAATTGTTGTTCTACATTAAGCTATTTCATAACTTTTTAGTCATGGCTCCAATAAACTGAACACAACTTTCTTATAAGTGAGAATATCAACCAGTTTTTTAATTTAAAAAATTTCTTGTTACATAATCAAGATTTTGATGCGTTTTTTATTCATTAATAATTTCTTTCTACTCCGTGTTTTAATTTTATTATTATTTGTTAGTACTGATATTAACCTTTAGAGAAAGGCAACGGATTGTGCGTAATAAATATACCGCGGAACTTTTCCAGCGATGACGTCAAAATGTTTACAAAAACCAGAGTTAAAAAAGAGTAAACACATATCTTAATACATGTGCAAAAAATAACTATCATATCGCAATATAGCCATTTTTATGTAATCGCTGGAAAACTTCCGCGGTATGGAAATAAATAAAAGAAAAAATACGAAATAACACAACACAATTGGTTACTTAATTTAAATGTTAAACAAAGTCACTTAACAAGATTTTTGCATTAGATAATAAAATTATAACAAGCAGAGGCGTAATCACAACAAATTTGTCATTAATGCATATGGCAATTACATAATAGTACCAATATTAGTCAATGAGAAATTAAACCTATTATTCTCGAGTGTGTAGTAGCCATAACTAAAGAACGAACTATTGTTTAGTCGTAAAAATTGTACATTATCTAACTGGCAGAGAAAGCGCTTATATTATAGCCGAGCTCAGTGTTCGCTGCCGAGGCTGTAGATCTGAGCGAGACAGTTAATATGATTAATAATTCTGTACTTAAAATTCTTGAGTTTGCGTTATTTTGAAGTTTCACGTATAATGTACATTATACGTATTTTTTGTGCATGAATTTATTCTATAGTAACCTGTAATTTTAGAATTACCCAAACCTATTAAAAGCTGAATTCGATAGATGAAACCACTCTTCTTATGTAATTTGTATTTTCATTATGAGGTGTATAATAATTTGACTTTTGAACTGCGTACAAATATGAAGTCTTTCTGTTTATAAGTGTTAAATGCTTGAAAAAAATATTTTACAAAAATATACGTTTATAGTACTATTGCAAAATGTTATATTTTTAGCAATTATTTTCGGGTTGGTGGACAGAAAATGCCCTTCAAGCCCAATCCCAGAAATTTTTACAATAACAAAATGCGAAAAAGATTCGGAATGCCTTCCAAGAATTTGTTGTCCTGAAAAGTTAAAATCAGGAGAAATTGTGGGTTTTTGTAGAACTGCTGAGGCTATATGGGATAGAATGCCACTAGCCAACCAATTTATGGAACGTAAGTTAAAAAAAAATACCTACCAACATATTTTTATTCGCCCTTGAATTAAATGACCCTAGATAATACTATATATTTTACATTTTTTAGCATTTAAGACAATGGTAAGTTATATGCAATGTACTCCACCCCCACCCCCAATTTTGGATGTTTTCCCAAAACCATGTGAAAATGCTTTGGATTGTTTTCCAAATTTATGTTGTCAAGAAGGAGGGAAGAAATTTTGTAGGCCTCCAAAAAGGTCCATATTATCCTTGATGGCCGGAATTGGACAGGTATAAATTTTGTTGTTGTTTTTAATAACTTTAAATCTTAGATGTCTTTATAAAGTATTTACAGTTTTAATTAAACACTAAAAGTTTTTTTTATGTTTGAAGACTAGTATATTTATTTTACCAATTCCCTTGAACACAACAAATTCACGCGAAGAGAAAGTATAGTTATTTTTTCCAGTAGAATTTTTTTGGAGTGTGGTGATGTAACGTGAAAAAACTTCCGTTTTTTAACCTTTTTGTGACATTTTCCAGTATGTTTTTTTACAGTGTAGAGATGTAACTTGAAAAACATCCGTTTTTTAAACCTTTTTTAATCCAATCAAGCTTTTGGTTCCCTTTTTGCAAAGGAAATAAATATACTTAAAAAAAATGTTTTTAGAAAATTTAGTTTTCAAATAGCTTTTTCCTAGGACATACATAATACATAATATTATATTTTAAGTCACCAAAATTAAAATTTTTAGCAAAATGTCAATGTTAATGGTTTTATAATTAAATCAAAGATTAAACCGTGGTTTTCCACTTATTTTATTTGAAGGGTACCAAAACAATTAAAATTTGAAAAAATTTTAAAGATTACATCAAAATAATTTTTGCTACAATTTTAAAGACTTCAAATACAGGTACCCAAAACAATTCAAATTTGTAATTTTTTTAAAGATTACATCAAAATAATTCTTGCTAAAATTTTAAATTTTGATGACTTCATACCAGTTCTAATTTTTACTTTTTACATGTTTGAAAGCTTTCACTTTTTAATTTATTGTTCAAAAATGCAGTTTTCATCGCCGTTTTATTCATTTTTTATAAGTAAAAATTAATGACAATCGTGGAGAATTTTCGAGAGATTTCTACCTACCATTATAAACATTCATTTGTTGACTGACTAACTTATCATTTTTATATTTGGGCCAAAATTTTCAGAAAAATCAAAATTGCAAATTAACCATAGACAATTAAAATGATGTTACCTATTTTTAGGGTTTAAAATCAAGAAAAAACTTTTATTCTTTTTGTAACTTCATCTGTGGACATATTGTAAATTGTGATAAATATCATATTTATTGGCCATAAATATTGGTCAAACCCTGACTTAACAATTTTATTTTTTACTAGTTAAGCTCATTTTAATCATCAAATTTTAGTTACATTTGCATTAACAAACTTAAAAACTCTATTGTAAATATACAAATTAATTTTTTCATTATTTTTTACAGAGACTAGTCCCCACTGATGCAGCTAGGGCCTTTATTAAAAGGATTTCATAATATGAGATCAATCTATTTGTAAAAAAATGTACTTGCCTGTTTATAAGGTAAAAAATCATCAAAATGTAAATATCTTTATAAATAAAACAACCTGTCTTTTATTTAAATAGTTTACTGTGAAACAATATGCCTTAAACTTAAAGTTACTATATAAAAAATCATTTAGTTACTGCAGCCCAGCAAACCATCAAATAAAATTTAATCGAGCTGTAAGAGAGGAAAAACCACAATAAAAAAATTGAACTTTTAAAGTTTCTCAATGATATATCAAATATAATTAAAAATAAATAAAACATACCTTCTTGAAACCAATATCTCCAGCGTATTCTCTGAAGCATTGACGGCAAAGGTTAAGCCCGTATTTGCGAATCAAACCATGCCTGTTTGAGCATGATCGGCTGAAAGAAAAAAATAATTTAATCTTTAAAATCCAAACAAATCAAATAAGCACTACATTTATAGTTAAGTTTACGAGTCACGTAAATATCTATCTATCTTTTTAAAAGCCTCTATATGAGCCAATTTAAGGAATTCTAAATGTATACATTTAGAACATAACCTCAATTAAAATAAATTCCATTTAAGGGCCCTCTGGCATTTAAAATTAATAATATTATACAAAATAAAACTTTTTTAAGTATTATTTAACAACGCGACAACGTTTTAAAGCAGTTAAACTCCTAAAAATACGTTCACTAACCATGCCGTCTAACATATTTAAGGTTATATTCAACAAAGCCGAAATTGAGGAAAATATTGTTTAGAACTTACCAAGATCTGGATCCTTGTCCGTATTTACGGGGATGAGAGTACCAGATATTTTGGAAACCCATTTTTTATTATATTTTAAGTCAACAAGACCTTCGTCTTTGCAAATGAACGACAGAAAGGAAGCGAGTGGCGCCACCAGCGGAATTTTCGAGAACTATCTTGGCGCGAAATTCAGATAAAGGAATTTAAATCATGACCGCCTTTGATTTTCTACTTTATTGTGTTTTGGTATACGAGCCCTAACCACATAATGTTCGGACACTTCATAATTTATACAGAAATTTTTTTCGTGAATACTATCTCAAAATTATTAGAAGTTATGAAAAATTCAGCTTATTTTGGCATATACCCCTCGAAGCGATTTTTATTTTTAAAAAGTTTACCTTTTATTTTTAGCTTTTAAAAAAAGGCTAACTTTTTAACTTTTTTTTGCATGAGTAAAAAAAGTTATAAATGGGCCCATTAAAAAGAACATAAAATATTATACAAACCCTGAAAATTTGGTAAAAATTGTATAAATAATAAGAAAGTTATAGCGATATATATATCTGCAAAATCTCCCGTTTCCTAAGAAAATTGCAAAAACTCTTTAAAAATAGCATTTTTAAATTACTTATACTTTTTTATAACTTATTTATTTTTTACCAAATTTTCAGAGTTTGTATAATATTTTATGCTCTTTTTAATGGGTCTATTTAAAACTTTTTTTACTCATACAAAAAAAAGTTAAAAAGTTAGCCTTTTTTTAAAAGCTAAAAATAAAAGGTAAACTTTTTAAAAATAAAAATCGCTTCGAGGGGTATATGCCAAAATAAGCTGAATTTTTCATAACTTCTAATAATTTTGAGATAGTATTCACGAAAAAAATTTCTGTATAAATTATGAAGTGTCCGAACATTATGTGGTTAGGGCTCGTATATACTGTATATATACAGTGTTCCTAAATAATGTACCAACAGAAAATCAGGTGTGGTATAAATAAAAAAGAAATTCTTTGGCCTAAAATACGATTTTTATTGATTTATTGTATGTGCTACTAGTAGTTGCCAACCACTATTTAATGCTATTTTAGCAATGTATTTAATTTTTTTTTTTAATTGTAATGGTCTACCGTAATTAATTTTAATTACCAACAGATTAAACAGATTAAAGTGATTTTGCGTCTTATTTCTCGGTACCGGAATGCTCAGGTGAAAATTCTTTCAAGGTCACGCATCTCTTTAAATTATAAGTTGTTGTAAGTAGGTTGTTTGAACTTAAACTAGTTAACAGTACTTGAATTGTATATTACAGATGAGCAACGCGTCGCTCGTCTTTTTCGGGGCACAATGAAACTTCAAAACGGAAAAATAACAAATGAAAAACAGGAGGTGAGTACAGCATTATTATTTAAATATTCAGTGGGAGTCTCTATTTGGAATGTTGACTTAAATAGCATAAAAATGCGTTTTTATAGGAAAATCATGAGGAAAAAACAGCAATAAGGCAAACGAATGGGGTAAACATTAAAAAACCGCAAAATTTGCCATCGAAATGGGATAAATACAACAGTTTGTCCATCCTTATAGGAATAGTCTCATTTTTAACAGTTTTATTTATTGCTGGAGAAGAATGTATGCAATGCTTTAACAAGTTGGATCAAGAAAAACCTGAGAAAGTATATGTGGACCCCAAAATGGGCTTCAAAAAATTTTGGGCATATGGTAAAAACATTGATAGTGGGTATTTGACTGAAGTTTTCACTGTTTTGGATAGATTGGGTTATAAGAATTCACCCAATACATCTGACTGGGATTTGCTGTGGTCTCATGATTACCCATTTAGGAGATTGTATCAGGAATTGAAGGATTTAAAGCCACATCAAAAAGTAAATCATTTTCCTGGATGTGGATATATAACCAACAAAGTGGATTTGGCTACAAGTGGATTAAAATATATACCACCTGCTTTTAAGTTGCCAAATGATAAAGACAAATTGTTGAAATATTCCCAAGAAAATCCTCGCGCAAAATTTTTGCAAAAGGATAATGATCACAGGAATATTAAGATAGAGGATATCAACAATATTGATTTAAATACTGAAGGAACTTTTATACAGGAATTTGTAGACAAACCTTTGCTAGTAAATGGACATAAGTTTGATATTGGTATTTATACCATTATTACATCTATTGATCCCCTCAGAATTTATATTTATAATGGAGAAGCTTTATTAAGGTAATACACAAATTCAAAAAAATAGCGCGTCACTTAATTACGGTATGTTTATATTTTTAGATTTTGTCCTGAAAAGTACTACCCATTTGATGCAAAAAATCTCAATAAGTATGTTGTGGGAGATGATTACTTACCCACCTGGGAGTTGCCAGATTTGGATTATTACTTTAATCAATTGGGATTTGGTATGAAGGAAAGTTTAAATGCCTATTTAAGATCAAGAGGAAAAAATCCTTCTGTAATTTGGGAACAAATTGAAGATGCTATAAGGACGATCATTTTGGATAAAGAAAAACATATAGCAGATATTCTACAAAGGTAAACAATTTCTTAAAAAAGTCAAAACTAAAAAATAAAAAAAGGTTTTTATACTCTTAGAAAAATTATTTATATAGACTTAATTTAAATTTTAGGTTTAAATCGAAACACAACTTTTTTGAAATGATGCGTTTTGACTTTGTAATTGATGAGGATCTTAAAATTTATCTTTTGGAGGCAAATATGAGTCCAAATTTATCTTCTGCACATTTTCCACAAAATAAACTATTGTACCAACAAGTCCTTTATAATGTTTTAGGATTAGTTGGTGTTGGTGAAAATTTATACAGAAATTCTTTAGTTATGAGGTAAAAAATCAAATTTTAAAAAGTACATGGGTACATTTTTATATATTTTAAGGTCTCCTCTTGAGGAAGAAATGATTGTATCATATAAAAGTATAGCAACATTTCCAAAAGAGTGCCACAGCAATTTATGCCGTAATGGTTGTTCATCACCACAATGTCAATTATGTAAAAATTGCTTATCGCCAATGACTAAAAAAGATTTAGCACTTGCTTATAAAGAACATGTGCACAGAGGAAATTGTAAAAGAATTTTTCCACCCCCAATGGTAAAAAAAAATATTTTAATTTTGTGTTAAAAATATTTAATTTTTTTATTTTAGACACAAGAAGAAGCTAAAAAAATCACCAATTTAGAAGAATATTCTCCAGAAAATCAATTACACTACAAATGGTTTATTGGTAAATGTCTATTAGACAAATCTTGGTGTTAATATACCTATTAAATAATTGTTATGTTTGTATTTATTTTATTTATGTATTTATTTCTTCTTTAATAAAGTTATATTATTTTTCAAAATTTAATTTGTACAAACCAGGAAATATTCCAATGGAATATAAACTACAATAGGTACATTTTCGGTTTGGAAAGAAATTCAAAAATAAAAAATATCCACTAATTGAAATAATTTCAAAATTTGTATGCACCTAACAACACTACATATAAATTTGGAACAAAAAAATATTATTAATCAGCAAATTAATATTATGTTATTTTTACTCGATTATTAACAATAAAATAATTAATAAAGCAAAATTACCTTAATATATATTTATGCAAAAAACAATTTTAGATAAACATAACCTTACTTTAGTAAAAACAAGAAATCTTTTTTGACAGTTGTCGGATTGACGTGGGGGAATTTGTCGACGTTAAGTTTAGTGACGTTTGTGAGACTCGTTCGTGGATGTAAAAAGTGGCCGGAGCAGTGAAGAAAAGTGTTTTGTGGCAATAATAATGGCAAAAACTTACGATTACCTGTTTAAATTGTTACTGATTGGTGATTCGGGTGTGGGAAAAACTTGCGTGCTGTTCAGATTTTCCGAGGATGCCTTCAATACGACATTTATATCGACCATAGGTGAGTCAGTTGTATTTTGATGTTTCAAATCACCTGTGGACTTTTTGTTAAGTGAAGGTTGCCTTAATTTTGCCCAAACGAGATTTTTAGTTGTTCTTATTGCTCGACTCCCATATTTGGCACAAAATAATTAATATTTTTATGTGCGTATTCCTTAAGCCACAACCACACCTAATATTAATTGAAGTTAAATTTATTTATCGATACCGAATTTTATTATTTATACATTATACCTACTGGTACCGCCAAGAAATTCAAGTCATTTTGTGATGAGTAATATATTCGTTAATTAGATGACATAAACAATTATATTTAGGCTTCAAATTCATTTAATTTTTACTGTTAAATAAGACACTGTAAACAAAGCGCATTATTTATTGCTAAGTATAAACGAAAATTTAAGGTTTTTAAACGGTAATTCCTCAAATTGTTTTATCGCTGATAAATTATCATGTTTCTAGCATGTTTTTTCTTATCTACAAAAAAAATCAATGTAATCTAATATTTTAAATGTTTTACTGTTTTAAATTGTTATAAATTATTAAGGAATTTTGTAAATTTATAATTTCACAAAATTAGTTAACTGAATTGTATAGTTTTATAATAAAAAGTTTATATAGGTAATACTGCCATAAATCCAAAACACAATTATAATTTTTAGTTGGATAAAGCTTATCAAAAAAGAACAATCGGCAAAAACTTTTTCTGCTCTTAGAAAAATAATTTGTAAAATAACTCATATTTATTCATTCAAAAGATTAATTATTATTTGGAACTTTTCTCACAAGGATTGAGAAGGTTTCCAAATCATTATTAATTTTTTGAGCAGCATTAAAAATGAGATTTTGCAAATAATTTTGTTTACCCCAGAAAAAGTTTTTGGTGCTTGGTGCCTTTTTGATAAATGCTATCCAATTAAACTAAGCAACTAAAAGAACACCTTAATACTTTAACATGTCTTAATTGGTTTAAGAATTCTTAAATAGTATATATGTAGTGTATTCATAAAATAATATATTTTTACCAAACAAGTGAAAATAAATAGCCCAAAACATAATTTTAAAATAAAAATTGATTATTAAATTTGTTTTTTATTAACCTGGTATTACTTATATATTTTGTAGGAATCGATTTTAAAATAAGGACAATAGATTTAGATGGTAAAAAAATAAAATTACAAATATGGTAAGCACACTAAAACTAAAAAACACAAAAAAATACAAAATTCAAATTTTAGGGATACTGCAGGCCAAGAAAGATTCAGAACAATAACGACAGCATACTACAGAGGTGCAATGGGCATTATGCTGGTTTACGACATAACAAACGAAAAAAGTTTTGAAAACATAAAAAACTGGATTAGGAATATTGAAGAAAATGCTTCGGCGGATGTGGAAAAAATGCTGTTGGGTAATAAATGTGAGCTGGAAGAAAAGAGGCAGGTTTCTAAGGAAAGGGGTGAACAGTTGGCGATCGAGTATGGAATTAAGTTTATTGAAACAAGTGCCAAGGCCAGCATAAGAGTGGAAGAGGCGTTTTTCACGTTAGCTAGGGATATTAAGGCAAAAATGGAAAAGAAATTGGTAAGCATAATACATTTTTGTTTGTTTTTATTATTTGGGTGAATGTCTCCAGTTTGTACTACTAAAAAAAAAAGTCAAATCTAAATTTTGAACAACTGCACAAAAAGAACCAGTTTAAATTCCTTATATTAATTTTTCCTTATTTTTTACAAAATTAAAAAAAGTTAACAGATGAATTCATTGAAAATCAACAGTACTTCCATAAACAGATTAAAGCTCCATGGGAATGATATTTTGAGACTTTTAGCACTTATTTATATAAATTATATGTTCATATTTTTCTTTCAAATTTTGACTTTTACTTTTATTTTTGCTAAAATAAAACATTGTAGACATTCACCCATATTCAGTTTTGTGTATTAAGGAAGTTGGATCAGTTTTACTAACAATGAATGATAAGGAATTATCATAAATTACATTTAAAATATTTGTTTGATAATGAATAAAAATTTGTTCTTCCTTAATGCTTCTTCTGTATTTTATTATATTATATAAAACTCTTCAAAAAATAAAATATAATTTCTGGTGACAGTTTACTAATAATTTCTTTGTATTTTTTCTTGCCACCATGTTTTTATAGAAGGTAAATAAGTTTCTTTAGGCATGCTGTACATATATGGCTTTGTCTGGGTTTTAAACAATTTTTGCTTATTTGCATGCCTATAAAGTTTATAGTATAAACTAAACTAAATTTTATTGATTTCAATACTAAAACACTAACTTATTATTTACTTAATCATTGAGATAAAGTTAATTTACTTTTCTTTTTCTTATTACCTAATTAGTTTATGTATATGTACATAGAAACCAGGTTAGCAAAAACTAGTTTGAATTGTGCTAAATATAATAATGTTGATAATTTTCTTCATAAATACATATCCTGAAAAAATAAGTGTTTCCTAACTTGCATGATATAAATTCACACATTGTAGTTTTAATAAAAAGCAGTAAATTTCTTCTAAAATAGTACAGATTTTTTTATATTAAGTTTTTATTAAAAGTTTATATAATTTCCCCGAATTCCAAAAAATTTTTTCGGTTTATTTTTGCATGAGTTGCAATTAGAGATGTAGAAAAACGGTTTTTTTTTTCAGATGTGAAAAAAAACATGAAAAAAAAACTAGAAAAAAACGGTTTTTTTTGTTTTTTTCTCAAAATGAAATTTTGAGTAAAATGTAGAATATATTACATTTTTCATTATTGAAAATTTTGAGCAAGACTAAAAAATCTGATTTCTTATTATTTGGTAGGTTCCACATTAAAAACCAATAGCAATGTAAAACTTCTACACTAATACAAAAAATAAAAGGATAATTTTTTTTTGCGATTTTTCGGATAGCTGTATATTTTTTAAAAATGGTCGTATTGGAGCCGTAAAAAAAGCAATTTGAAGCTTGAAGTTTATAGCTTTGAGATTTTTAGATGAAAAACGTGCAACGCTCAACTCGAATACCGTAATAAAAAAAATCGATTTTTTTAATTTCTTTTTTGGTCCACAGAATGTTCTGACCACCAATGAACAAATGTTCTACAAGAATTTGCTATTGTTTTTTGAAAAAAAAATGTCCATACTCTACATAAATTTGAAAAATCATGAAAAAAGTGCTTTTGGTAGCTTTTTGAAAAATCAAGCGCTGAATCAAAAATATTATATGTAGTTACTTTCTTTAGGATCAAATCAAAACAAGCGCGGCCCTTATTGGTCAAATCGGTGGTTGTGGCGAGTGCATAACGCGAGACTGTATTTACATTTAATAATTGTCATTTAGTGGCTAATTTTAGTCCATGGAAACATAAAAAATTATGCAAATGGGACTAATCTTGAAAAAAAAAACCTAAAAAAAAACAAAAAAACGGACCGTTTTTTTTCAAGTCGCATCTCTAGTTGCAATAGTTAATTTTTTAACATAATAAAATTATTTTTAGGTTACTTTTTATAAACTTATAAAACTAATCATAACATACATAACTTGTGCAATATTTAAATGTCAGATTTTGAATTTAAATTTTTTTTCTTAGACTTTTTAATTTAATATAAAAATATTCAGATAACAAATTGCAAGATATTGCCAAATTTGCCCACATTGTGAAATATGAAAAAAATGTTTTAAAATACGACAACCCCCAAAAAATTATTTAAAATATATCAGAAAATAAAATAGCAAAACAGAAATTCTAAAATATGGTTTTTAAAAAATAGTATGAAAAATTAGGTAGGACCAAGTTGGCTTCTAAAGTTCATACTATAAAATTTTGGATGAAAGCATATAGTAATAATTTTTGGTGTAAAACTTGAATAGTTACCTTAAACAAGCACGTATTTTAAATGCACAAAAATTTCATATTTTATTTATATTTGAACATTTTATCGAGTACTAAAACTCTTCCGTGTATTATTAATGTTAGCTTCTTAGCATCACAATGAACGAATATTTTAAGGTTATAAATTACATCGCAATTAAACTAAACTGCGCACCACTCAATGTGTCGCGACCAAAAAGTTCGTCCTTTTTCAAAACGACATAACTTTTTTGTTTCTTGAACGATTTTATTTTGGTCTGTGATGTCTGCTAACCCCATCCTCTGGAAATTCATGCTATAGTTATTAAGCATACGGTTCTTCAAGTAAATTTCCTACAGGGTGATATGTAAAACGGTGAAAAATTTCAATAACTTCATCCAAGCCCCGTTTGTAATACAATAATTTTTTTTTCGTTTTTACTTTGAAATAATGAAGTGTTATGTGTTACCTTGAAACATTTTTCAAATTTTTCGAATTGGAATCTTAGCAACGAAAATATGATTTTTTTCCAAAAGAGTACATTTAAGGCTTTTTGGTAGGCAATATATTCAGTCTTTTTAAGAACAAGAAAATAAGATGGTAAAAGATTGTTCCTTGAACAAGCGACAAGCAACAAACTTCCATTATTTTCAGAGGGGCCTAAGCAAAGACCACTTTTTCAAAATGACATTTTGGCGAAAATTTGCGAAAACTAAACCTGAACCGATACGTTCGTGGCATATTTTCTTTATAATTTTGACCTCCTGATTGTGATTCAGTTGTCAAATTTAAGTTTCAGATAAAACCAAAATCATCAAGAATCAAAATTTGAAAACAATTCCCTGATGTTAAATGTCTTAATAAAAACCGATTGCTGTCGTGTTTCTTGCATATTTATGATGAAAATGCCATTTGGGGATTCATTTTTTGGGCGAAATTACTGCAATTTGTTTGAGTGGTTAGGATAATGTTACATAACTTACATTTACATTGCGCAGTAGTATTTTTGAAAATTGTATGCGTAGATATAATCACAATCAAACATTCAACAGAAAAATGTAACAAACAATAATACCTTTCAATATTTCGTTGGCCCTCCCCTAAGCTGTAATAATTCTTTAACCCTCCTGGGCATTCCCTCGACCAAGTTCCTTAGAAACTTCTGGGATACCCCATTCTTCCTGAATAGCATTTACCAATTCATCCAAATTTTCCATGCCTCCTTCCCTCTCTTTCATCTTCAATTTTATCCTGCTCCACACATGCTCAATAGGATTCATATCCGGAGACAAATGTGGCCAATTCATTTTCTCAATATGGTGGTCCCTTAAATACTTATTTACGATATGTAAAAAACAGTAAAAACCAGCAATCGGATTTTATTGACACATTTAACAGCCGGGAATTGTTTTCCAATCTTGATTCGTAGTGATTTTGGTTTTATCTGAAACTTAAATTTGACAACTAAATCACAATCAGGAGGTCAAAATTATGAAGAAAACATTTTACGAAAGTAAATATCGGTTTAGGTTTAGTTTTTGCAAACTTTCACAAAAATGTTATTTTCAAAAAGTGGTCTTAGCTAAGGCCCTCTGTAAATAAGTTTGTTGCTTGTCGCTTGTTCAGAATTATTTAAGGAACAATCTTTCACCATCTTATCTTCTTGTTCCTAAAAAGACTGAGTGTATTGCCTAAAAAAGCCTTAAATGTACTCTTGAAAAAAAAATCATATTTTTGTTGCTAAGATTCCAATTCGAAAAATTTGAAAAACGTTTCAAGGTAACACATAATACTTCATTATTTCAAAGTAAAAACGAAAAAAAAATTATTTTTTTACAAACGGGGCTTGGATAAAGTTATGGAAATTTTTCACCGTTTAACATATCATCCTGTAGGAAGTTTACTTGACCAACCGTGAGCTTCATATCTATAGCATAAATTTCCAGAGGATGAGGCTAGCAGACAACACAAACCAAAATTAAATCGTTCAAGAAACAAAAAGAACGAACTTTTTGGTCGCGACACATTGAGTGGTGCGCAGTTTATTTGACTTCAGATATAGTTGTTATTTTTTTAAATAACACATCTGATTTTTTGTCAAGGTGGGGTAAGGTTTTGTGGAAATACCCTAATATTAATCAAGATCTACACTTTAAAAAAAATCCGGTTCAAATCGCACAATAAATGATTTTACAGAGGTGATTCGCAAACAAATGAGTCACACTGTATATAAATTGCGTGATTTTTATAGTTTCCTAAATATGTATTTAAACTTTAAATTTATTGGCTTACTCATATTAAATCTTACCACCTCACTCTACCAACTAACAAACCATAATCATCAGCTTAACAAAACGAAACATGTTTTTGTTTCCGCAGGAGGCAAGCAACCCGCCCAAAGGCGGTCACCAGCTGCGCGCCTCCGAGCCGCAGAGGAAGCCTCCGAGCTGGTTGTCGAGGTGCACCCTGCTTTGACCGGGTCGCCACGTGGCAGAAGAAAAACCGTCGCCGACCAACTGCGCACGCGCCGTCGCAAGCGGCCGCCGCCACCTCAGATCGGCCGCGGCCGGCGCGTGATCGATACGCCCGTGTGATGTCGCCACCAACGAACCGCCATTTTGTTGCGCAACACTGTAAATCCGGCAACGTTCGCCCAAATGCTTAAACATTTGGCAACGTTGCGCTTAAATTTGGCAGCATTGCCACGTCAATTTCTTATTTTTTTACGGCCTAATTCATAACAAAAAAGTGAGGTAATAAAATGGCGAAAAGTTAAAATTTGTAAACAATCTTCGATAATTTAAATTGTGATTAAGTATAATGATTTTTTACCGTTGTAACTTAGATAATTTATAGGTTTATTTATATTGTTTGTGTGCACATTTCATGTTTTTGTTAGTGATGGTATTTAACAGTAATCTTGAGACAGAAACAAAGTGTTAAATAACCTTTGCGTTTATTTTTATTCGATGAACAATTTGTGTATATATTTTTTAAGTAAAAAAATGTTATTGTGACATATTTTTTTAATTGGTTAATGTAAATTTAATTCAGTTTTTGGTTTATTTCATAAATAGGACACTAAATGTTACTACCTGACTAATTACCTAGACTGCAACATATTTTGTTTCATAATACCTACTTATATTAAAAAAAAAAGTTAAAATAGATTTTATACATTTTTATATGTAAAAACTCACAGTTAAATTTAATAAAAATGCCCGTTTTAGTTCTGTAGTACACTCTATGTAAATAAATTATATATAAAATCTTAACATTTGTTTTTCTTTACTTTTACAAAAAAATTGCTTTTTTCCATTTCAACTTTTAGGGTCTGTTCATACGTATTTTACACATTTTTTGTGGATTTTATACCCACCTTCACCCCTCTGGCATATTGTCACACGTCTCATCTCCCTCCCCCCAAGTTACCTCACAATTTTTTTCTTAATTTTCTATTTTTTGTTATTAATTAATTAATTAATTCATTCAAAAAGAAGACGAAAAGTCCTTTGGCATTTTTCGATCTGACCCTTAATTAGTTATTAATTAAATAAAGAAGCACTTCACGGGCTTGCGAAAAACTTAAAAGAATGTCAAAAAACTGACAGTAACCCACATATTTAAAAAACTCTCTAAATATGTGCTACTGACTTACTCATAATTAAAAAATGTGAATTCGGAATAGGATGATTAATCCGAATATTGAAATATTCCGATTCCTAATTGGATTAATCCAAATATATTCGGATATATATCTGCATCACTAGTACCACACCTGTTAATATTGGTTTGTAACAATTTTCTTGATTATGAATTCATGATTTATGGCAAAGAAATAAACACGAATAGTTGAAGAGTTTTTAAATACAACCAGCTAATTAAGCCAAATTTTTTAATTTGGCAGGTAAGTTTATTTGCATTGTTAAATTTATAAGGCATTTTAAGTACGGTTTATTAATTTTAGGTAAATGATGGGTTTGATCTCATAAATTTTATTTACGTGGCAAAGGAGTTAAGCTCAGCCAAAAATACGCCATGATCCCATATGGTATCATGGTAGAAACACACACACATCTCATGAATTTCAGAGTATTAATTGGTGAAATGTGTGAAATAATAAATGAAAGTATTATTTTACTCCAGAATGTATTCTTAAATAAAATTTTATTTTATTTTATAAATTTTATTAATCTTTAAATAAGAAATGACAAAAATCTCTTTCTTTAGAAAAACAAATTATTGAGCACTGGTGGATTTAAGAAAAAAAACCCAGGCGGCAAGTTTTTAAAGGGGCACAATTTTGAGGTATAACATTTCAGCTGGGGGGCCTAGAGCCTTTCTGATGGGGGGGGGGGCAGGCGGCAACTGCGCATTTGCCGCCCGTTAAGTCCGCCACTGTTATTGAGCCTTTCAACATCTTGTTTCCTTTTTATAAGGCAAGAGCTGACAGCAATTAAAATAATATACCATTTTGGTATATTATTTTAATTGCTGTCAGCCCTTGCCTTATAAAAAGGAAACAAGATGTTGAAAGGCTCAATAACAGTGGCGGATTTAAATATATTTTCGCGGAGCTAATCCCGAACTAATTCCGGACATCCTAGGCATGCGCTTTTTAAAATTTTGCGTTCAAAATGTAAAGTGCGCATGAGAAATATTAAAATGCGCATGCCTAGGATGTCCGAACTAGTTCGGGATTAGCACCGCGAAAACACCTATTAAAGTAATAAATGACAGAAAATAAACGTATAGATAAAAATAGGAGGCTTACGGAATGCGGTACGGGAATCTATAAATTGACTTTTTAGAAGACATATATATATATATATATATATATAGAAATTGTGCAAGCAGTCGGGAGGAAGGAAGGAAGGCAATCTATAAATCAGGCTTAAAAGAAAATGCTTAAGGACAATAGGTAGGTAGCTTAAATTATAATTTGGAACAAAGACATTTTAGTCAAATTTTTGCTGATTTCCCGTGGTCAGAATCAGATTTATTTTGGACTGGCAACATTGCATTATCTAACCTGAAATTAGGCACTGTTTTGTCTGTTTTTTTGTCTGTTTTGTAACAGAACTTGTTGAAAACCAGAGATAAACTTGAAAACTATAGAACAAACTGAACAGTTTATAATCTGTGAAGGGCCTTCACTGAAGGCAACACTTTTTCTATGCTGTTGAACTTTTTGTTATTGGTATGTTGAAAAAGAAGAATTTTGCAATTAACTGAAGCCTGTGGTTCTGTAAAAATTAAGGCATTTTACGGTAAGCTTAATTATTCCATCTCTTTTACTTACTTTTTTTCATGTTTCAGCATAAATTTTAAGATGGACAAACTTTTCGCTGAGGCGAAGTTACGAAAAATACCCACTGGGTTGATAAACGGAAATCTAGGTCTTCAGTTTGAAGAAGATGGTTTCAGTTCGCCTGATAGTGATGCTGAAGAAAGCACCACAGTTTACGAACAAGACTATGTTAGCAAGGAGATGAAGAAGTATGCAAATTTTACAGCGCTGCCACTTGACCAGGTATTGTGCATTAATTGTAATAATACTAAATATTATTTATTGTGAAATAAACATGATTGCTACATAATGTTTTAAATGTACAAAGGAGTAGAAGGAACAAAGTTAAAAAAACCTAATTTTTAAAAGTGTATGGCAAAGATATTATCTTTTGTTTATGGTACTCAAAATTGAATAAATGAAAATAGAGAGAGAGAAAATTTTGAGTTGTATCTCGAAATTATAAATTTTTTACATTTAACTAGAAATTTTAAACTTTGTAGATTCAAGTCAAAATTTTACCCTAAAATATAAGTAAAAAATTTAGGGTAAAATTTTGTTTTATTAGGTTTTTTTAGTGCTGTGTCCCTTTTGCGCCTTCATGGAAATGTGTATTTTAGCTGACTCAATTTGGTTGACCGATTTGGTTAATTGAGGGCTGGTTTATCAATCTCTGGTTAAGTTCCAGTTAGTCTATTTGACAGTTAAATTCCATATCGATAGTTGTGAGAACAATAGTATCCATGGAGATTATCTGCCAGATAACTAAGTGCAACTTTAACTAGACATTAATAAACCGGCCCTCAACCAAATTAAAGCAATAAAATTAAGACAGGTAAAATAATTTGGATGAATCAACCAAATTGTTCAACCACATTAAGGCAGAAATAGACTAAGCAGACTGTATTTTATAAAAAGCTTTGCTAAACGGTTTTTTGTGTTGAGTATGAGTATGAGTATAAGAGACGTATAACCAGCCCCATTTCCTCTTGACTCTCGAACCCCGTACAGGCCTATGTTTACTTACGCCGATTTTTGTTCTTCCCCAGCAACTTCACGGCTTCACCCGTGTTTGCTGGGTGCGAATGTCCATTACGTTTCGTACTGTCCCCTATTTGGAGCTCGAGAGCGAGAGGCGAATAGTTATAATAGCCATTCCCGGGTTCGCCGAGCCTATGCTATACGCTCAGTGGGGTATGGAGAAGGGACGGGAGGGTGTTGGTTTTTGGGGGACAATTACGCCGACTTAAAACTAAGTACGACGCGGAATCCCCCTAGACCAGTCGTCCAAACATTTGGGATTACTATTTGGAGTTGGGGAGTTGTTATTGCTGCAGTGTGTAGTTTCCTAGTCGAGGTCTTCGTCTTGTTCATTATTGTCATTATCCGTGTCGGATAGTTCCTGAACTTGGTAAAGTGTGTCGGTTGTTTTTTTTATTTTGTTTTTATTGTTGCTAAGTTGCTCCCAACTGGTCTTGTTAATTTGTGAGAAGTGCATGTTTTGTGCTAACGTGTCATGAAATGTGAAGCATGGTCTCCCGACTTTTTTGTCTTTAAGATCTAGTTTAAGGGTGGCTTGTAGTATGTTGTTGCGTTGTCTACGAGTGACGTGGGCCCAGTATTTTAGTTGGGCTACTCTTATCCTTTTGGTGATGGTTTTTCCCATTAGCAGGTCGCGGGGATGTTGTAGATGATAGTCGGGTAAGTCTGTCGTTAGTAGTGTAATGATCTTACGTTCAAGTTTGCGTAATTTTTGTCTGTTTGCTTTAGTTAGCGCGCAGGTGTTTAGGCCGTATGTTGCCGCTGGTACGATTACCGTTGTGTAGATTATCTTCCGGAGAGGCCACGGGAGGTTGTATTTCTTTGCGAAGGAGTTTATCATGTGGGCCGAGCGTAAGGCCGCGGTAATACGTAGTTTAGTCGTTTCTTGGCGGTTAAGGGTGCTGGTAATGACGGCTCCTAGATATTTGAGGCTATTGTCGAGCTGTAGCGTGTGTGGGCCGATTTTAAAGGGGCCAACTTTGTGTACCCTGTTCGGGTGTTTGGGGTTACGAATTAGTATTTTGCTTTTTCCTGCGTTTAGTTTTAGGCCTATTGTTGACGTGTGTTCTGTTAGCACGTCGATAAATCTTTCTATTTCCCCTACGTTGTTGGCGATATATAGGAGGTCGTCCGCAAAAGCGAATAAGGTGGGAAGTGTAAGGTCGGTAAGTTCAGTGGCCAGTTGGAGATCGGGGATTTCTACTGTCGTTATAAATAGTATTCTGTGTAACGCCAGCGTGAATAGCCTAGGTGATATGGGGCAGCCCTGTTTTACGCCTCTCTGCTTACGATAGAGTTTTGTCGTCTGTCCGAACCATTGCACACACGTGAACTCTGCTAGGCAGGCCGTTTCGATTCTGTCAATTAGCCACTGCAGGGTGTTCAAGGAGCCTAGAGCGTCTATGATTGCTGCGTGAGTGATTTTGTCGAATGCTTTTTCTATGTCTAAGGTTATTATGAATATCTTTTTTCCTTTACGCCACATTTCTTCCATAATTCGCCTAACACTAAAGATATGGTCCTGAGTTGACCTGTTTGCGATAAATCCTGCCTGATAGTAGGGGATGGGCTCTAATAATTCGTCAAGTATTTTTAGCAGGTAGCGGGCGTAGATTTTGTAGCCTACACTACACAGCGTTATTTTCCTATAATCCTCGGTATTTGTCGCTCTGCGATTTTTAGGAATTGGAATTTGTTTAGTTTTGAGCCATTCGCCAGGTACAACGTTCGTTGTCCAAATTGTTGTTAAAAGTATCGTGAGTGTATCGTAAATTTCCTCCGGGGCCTCCTTTAGTAGTTCGTTTTGAAGTAGGTCTATTCCCGGTGCTGAGTTTTTTCGCAGTTTATGTATTGTTTGTTGTATAATGTTGTCCATAACTCAGATACATTTTTCAGGTCAGGGTTACTACTTAGTAAAATGTTAGTTACCGCAGTCTTATAGTTGTCTTTGGGGTCATTTAAGCGATCTATATATCATTTTAACGGCTTGTCTTTGGTGGCTTGCCTGACGGTGGCGGCTTGAGCAGGTAGTTGTTTTATTACACAGTATAGTAATTTATGGTCTGTATTTAGGTCAAGTGGCCACGTGGCATAACAGTTTTTGAAGAAAAAGTCAGTTGTGTTGTTGCGTAGCATGTGGTCGATTTGAGAGCTTGTTGTTTTGTTGCTCCATGTGGTTAGGACTGTTTTGGAGATTGAAAATGTGTTATGCACTCGTAGATTAAACATTTGTGCCAGGTTAATGAGATCCTGGCCGTTTTCGTTACTATCGTTATGTCTTAGTTGGCTGCCCGCTGTAACTTTGTCTTTGATTGTGCCGTGGGATTTTCCTATGTGTGCGTTAAAGTCGCCCGCGATAACCAATGTTCCTTTTCTGATGTTTATGTCGATTTGTTGTGTTAGCTCGCGGTAGGTTGCCGTGTTGCGTTTGTCAGATGGTATGTGGGCGGTAATTACGCATAAACGTTTTTTGTAGAAGTCTAGAATTATCGTAGCGGTGTTTTCCGAGGTAGCGTAGAATTTTGTCGTTTTTATGTCTTTGTCCTTCTTTATGAGGATCGCGACCACCCTTCTCGTCATTTTATTGTTACCCCCGCTCAGATACCAATTGTATCTTTTTGTGGTGGCGCGACCCGAAGTCATGTATGTTTCTTGTAGTGCTATAATGTCCATGTTATAATGGTCTAGTACGTTGTCTATTATGTCCCTTTTTTCTGCCCTTCTACACCCGCGTACGTTTAGTGTGCCTATTAAATGCTTGTCTACTTGTGTGTTTACATCTAAATATGTCCTGTCGTTTGTAGATTGAGTTATCGTGTATTTTCCGTTTCCGTCTACTATGGTGTTTATGTTTCTGACGAACGTGGTCGGGCTGTTCCTGGGTGCGGGCTGTTTGGGAGATACCTTTAAAATGCTGTCGTAGTGGTTACGGGTACCTAGTGCACCTAGTCTGTAGCATATTGCTATTGTACGGGAATTGTCGTTCAGTCTCGCGGATATCTTGTCTTTCCCGCCCTGCTCATGGTAAATTTCGATTGCGACGCTGAATACGTCTGAGGCGGCTAGTATTGTTTCCAGTCCGGCCCAGAAGCCGTAATTACCGTGGTCGTTTAGGTACGCATTAATTTGTCCTGTTTTGTCACTTATGTGTTCATAACGACTGCTTAGTTCATTTATTGCGTCCTCGATGTAGGGTCTGTACGTTCCTAGGTTATTACGTAAGTGGTTGTTTAATATTTGTCTAGTCTCTGCTGTTGTTTCAGTTTCGCGTAACGAACCTATCACCGTGTTAAACAGCTGATGTGCAATCGCTGCGATAAGGCAGTTCCCAGTGGGGGGTATTTTTTTTACTTTTACTATGAAGTCAAGAGTGTTTACAAATTCCATGGAGTTTGATTATAGTGCTTTTTTTTAACTTTGTTTATTTTTCTTAGTTTATGTTGTTTATGTCTTGAGTGTCAAATTTATTTGGTCTCGGTTTGTTTTACTTGAATTGTTATGTTGACAGCTTTATTGCCCTGTTCAACTTTGGTGCGTGTCCGCGATCGGCTGTTTGGTTTTTCTTGGAAAATTGACTTTTATTTTATTTAATGCCGATGATTATTGTTTTTTTTAGTTAGGCAATGTGCCTTGTTTAGTTCAATTTGCAAATTATGTGTTAGGTCATGCGGAAGAATTGGAAATACTTAGCAAATATTTGCAGGTGGCCTGATCCTCCCTTGTATGTCCTCTTTTGTTTGGCCTGTGGAGATCGACCTGTTGACCGATGGTGCGACCGCTCAGGCACTGACACTTGTCACTCGACACTTTCTTGTCACACAACGCTTAAAACTTTTGACCGTTTCACTATGTTCGCCTGCACCTGTCACTTCACTCCTCCTTTTCACTTGGCCCTCAACTAATTATTGACCGTATTGTAGTCTGTACTCACTGTATTTTTTTTTACACTATAGTAGTTTGCACTATGAAGGTTTATTTGTTGGTTATGGTTTTATCGTTATACGTTTTACGTTTACTCTGCCTCTGCTGCGTCGACTTATTCACTCGACGGCTGGGACGAGACTGAACTTTGCTAAACGGTTTTTTGTGTTTTTTACAAAAAGGTTTAATATTTGTATAATAAATACATAATGTGTCCTGATATTTTTATTATTATAGGAATATTAAATGTCATAAATAATAATAATAAACATCTTTATTGGTTTCCCAACAGGCTATCGACCGTGGTCTTTCTGCCCAATTTTACAAAAAAAATTTATAAATATAATAATTGTTAATTGTAGTTACAATATTAAATTTATATAAAAAAAAAAAAATAATAAAAACATAAATCTCAAATATTTTAGTCTTCGTTAGTGATGTCCGTGATTATCTCCCATAAAGTTTGTGTAGGATATTTCCTTTTGGGGGGCAGGTTATGGTCTCTACCGTGCATTAAGTTTTCCATAATTTGTATGTTGTGGTGTTTTTTTGCAAATTGGCATGCCAGCTCCTTGAAACGTTCCAAAATGGGGGTGACCTGCGTTGTTTCGTATAGCAGTTGATTTGATGGATTATGAAGTGGATTATCTGGGTGTCTCATTTTGGTGATTATTCTCAAACTACTCCGTTCAGCCACTTCTAGCTTACCTACAGTAGTTTTTTTGCAATTTAGGTAGATTAGGAAGGCATATTCAATAATGGGCCTGCATATCATTTTATAGATTTTAATCGCAGTTTCAGGTTGTATACCGTTATTTTTGTATGTCAGGCTTCTGAAATGTTTGGCTCTTGTAATCATCTTGGTTTTCATTAATTTGGCATGTAAATTGAAATTGAGTTTGCTATCTAAATGTATTCCAAGGTATTTGCATGAATTAGATGGTCGTATTTGTTGATTAAACATTTTTATAGAGGGGGAATTTATATTTATTTTGTGATTGAATATTATTAGTTGAGTTTTATTGGGATTTGGTTTTATTCTCCACTTGGAAAAAAACTGGATTATATTATTGCAGAGATTTTGTAAGTGAATCAAAGTGAGTTTTAGATTTTTCTGGTGTGCAATTAAAGCTTTATCATCTGCGAATTCTAGAATATATGTGTTAGGATTAAATTGTTGAGAATAGATGTCGTATGTGAATAGGTTGTATAGAATGGGGGATAAAGGAGAGCCTTGCGGGACACCTTGTTGCATAGAAAATGATTTAGATAATTTTTGATTGTGTTTAACTAGACTCAGTCTATTTTTTAGAAAGTTATTTATAAAGTGAATTAGATATTTTGGACAATTTAAGCTGTATAATTTGTATAATAGGCCGGCATGCCACACACTATCGAATGCTTTACTAATGTCCATGAAGAGAGCTGCTGATTTGTTGCCTTTTAGATTGTTTGTTTGAACATTCGAAGTTAGAATAAGCAGTGGATGGATTGTGGAAGAATTTTTTCTAAAGCCAAATTGATGGGGTGGAATCTTGTCGTCTAGTTCTTCTTCTAGCCTTATTTTAATGATTTTTTCTAAGTTTTTTCCAATGACTGGTAGTAAAGTAATTGGGCGAAAGTTGGTTGTTTTTGTCAGATCGCAATTCGGTTTAGGAATGTTTATTATAATTCCTTTTTTAAATTCTTGTGGATAGTATCGGTTTTTATTACAGTAATTATATATATCTAAAACTTTTCCATGGAATTCAGCACATAAGTTTTTAAGAGTCTTTTTGGAGATATGGTCATAACCTGGTGCTGTATTTTTGCCGGTATTTAGTACATGATAATATTCCTCTTCAGTAACTTCAGGCACTTCTCCAGGGTCGGTATGGTCGTTAAAGTACAACTCGTACCAGTCATTTATTTCTTTGAAGCTTTGATCATCAAAGTTTATATCTTCCGACATTTCATATATTTTCTTGTAATGTCTGCCAAAAGCATCTGCCACATCCTGGTTCTCATTGAGCACAACATTATTTTCTACAATTTCAACATTTTTATGAGTGTGCTTTTTGTAACCTGAAAGTTTTTTTATTTCTTGCCAATAGTTTTTGCCTTTTAAGTTACTTATATTCTTGCATGCTTCAAGATATTTGGTGGATTTATATTGCAAAATTAATATTTAAATGTCTTTGTTTAAATCATTGAATTTAGATTTTAGGTTTTGGTTATCATATTTGTGGATTTCTCTAAGCATTTGTCTTTTTGTTCTTAATAATCTTAGTATGAAAGGAGGTAGTACTTGATTGTAAAAAGTTTTTGGTTTTTTAGGGGAGTTATCCAGAATCTTTTGGCAGGTAAAGTTGAGGAATTGTGTAATTATTGTTGGGTCTAAATTTTGCATGCTTTTTATATAATCGGTTAATTCTACATTTAGGTTTTCTAGGTTGCATTTGTTAAAATCGTATATCATTTCAGGAGAGATATTTATTTTTGTTTGCAGGTTAAATGTTATTTCAATTGATTGGTGGTCTGAACATAAATCCGGAATAATATTTATTTTTTTTATATTATTTTTTATGTTATCTGTACATAATATTAAGTATGGTGTTGTGCTTGCATTGTTTGTCATGATAAATGTAGGGGGAGTATCGATTTTAACAAAATTTGAGTTTTTAAGAAAATGTTGTAGTTGTTTATTTTTGTGAGTATTAGGATTGAAGTCTCCAATGATAAGGCAATATTTATAAAGTGCAGCTTTTATAAATACGGTACTATCAATTATCTCATTTGGATGAATGTATAAAAGAAGTACATGCAATTTTTCATTTTGATACGGTAGTGTAAAATGTAAGCATTCATTTTTTATATTATTAATTTTTGGTGGATTGGCTTTGCCAAGATTAATTTCCGCCCTCGTTTGAACCATGCTTCCCCCTCTTATGTTTTCATTAAAGATATTACCTGGTTTTTGTATTGATTTCCATTGTGATGTTAAAGGTATTATATTTTTGAGTTTTGTTTCCACAAACATTGCACAATCGATATTATTTTTTTGTAAGTAATGACTTATTAAACTTTTTTTAGCTAGGTAGCTGTTTATATTCGTGTAGAGTATTTTTATGTTGTTTGATTGAATTTGATAGCCTTCTATTGGTTCTGTTGCAATATCTTGATTATCCGAATCATCCATATTTATCATAAATATGTATAACCTATTACCAGAGAATATAGGGGTAGTGTCTATGTTGTACTGCTCTATAAATCGTTTTTTTAATTTTATAATAAGTTTTTCCCTGTCAGTGTTGGCAGGTTTATTTAATTTATTTATATATGTATCGACTATCATGTCATGTACTGTGATGTAAGAGTGAATTTTGTTTTTTTTTGTGATTTTTGCATCTATCTGACAAGATCTTTTGTTTATTGATTTTATTTTGATATTTGGAATACCCTCTATTGGCTTTGTGGGTCTTCTTGGGCATTTTGTGGACCATGCTTCATGCTCTTCAGAGTCGCATGCTATGCATTTTTTAGGAAGCGGTGAAGTGCACTGGTTTGTATGATGGTTACCTTTGCATTTTGCGCAACTGATTGGTGAGCTGCAATTTTCTGTAAGATAGTGTATAGATGGCACCGTGCACATGGCGCAGGGATGGGTGGTGGTGGAGCACTGGGGTAAACTGCGTAGTGTCGGTTTTTAAAAAACATACCCTCATTTAAAAGTCGTTCAAATGATTTGTTGCACCCCGTTATGATCCTAATTAAATGTGTGGGTTTTCCTGTAGCTCTAGATATTATTCTTTTACAGAAGCGAATGGAGATGTCCAAATGTCATATTATTTATGTAATTTATAAACCTGGCATTTCTAACTGGGAATGTGTCTTGAGTAGAGATTTAAAATTTCCGATAAAATTGATTGCCAGGCATGATTTATAGTATTTAAAGTAACAATGAAAAAATCCAATTTACTACACTAACGAATTCTGCATTTCTGTAAATCCCCGAGAAAAACACTTAGGTAGTTATTGTTTTTTAAAATTCAATCAAAAGGGGTCGATTCCTTGCGAAAATCTACGACAAAATTTTCTTTACCTTATTTTTATGAATTCGAAAAATTGCAGTGTTTTTGCCAGGCGCAAAGGCAGAAATATAAGATTAAATGAAACTATAAAGATTATAACCATGTTATGATTACTAAAAAAAAATTCAAAATACAACTGATTCACACCTTCATGGGCGGCTTTAAAAATGTTTAGTTATTGGCCTTTCAGGCCGCAACGGATCGAAAAAACATGTTTTTTTTAACTGTCTAAATCTCTAGTCTAGAAAACCATGCTCTGTTGAATATTAAATAAAATATTGCCATATGTAATTTTTATATATTTTATAATTTTGTTAAAAAACAGGATGATGATGATGATGGTCTATCTTGTGTGGATGGGGTGGATTTTCCAAGACAAAGTGTAGGAGAAATATACAAAGCCCATAACTTTACCTCAAAATTCACAAAACCTGAGCTAGCCATTGATTCTTTTAAAAACGAGGTAAAAAGAACTTTTACCTAATAATTGAAAAAAACTAAAATAAATATTTTTAGATTCTTAAAGTTTTAAACACTTACAATGTTTTAATCATACAAGGAGACACAGGTTGTGGAAAAACAACTCAAGTTCCTCAGTACATTTTGGACGAATACCGACAAAAAAATGAATATTGCAAAATTGTCATTACACAACCGCGTAAAATTGCAGCTATTAATGTTGCTAGAAGGGTTTGTGAGGAAAGGGGATGGGCCTTGGGAACTGTTTGTGGATACCAGGTAAATAATAATAATAGTAATAATAATAATGTTTGGAAGGTCCTTTTACACTTCATTTTGAATCTGCTAGACATTATGCACCAACTTCACACCTATATATTTAACTTAATTTAAATTAACATTTTTTAGATTGGTTTGGAAAAAAAAGTTGGTCATGATTCTCTTATAACCTACATGACCACTGGAGTTTTGTTGCAAAAACTCATAATGCAAAAGTCTTTGCATGAATATTCCCATATTATTATAGATGAGGTTCATGAAAGAAATCAAGATTTGGACTTTTTGTTGCTTATTATTCGAAAATTTTTGTTTACCAACTCACCTCACACAAAGGTTTGTATTACTACCTTTTTTAAAAACAAATTTGCTTATATTTAAGTGTAAAAACAATCCTATGCTGGAATATATCTAAATACAGTTGTTGTAGAAAATATAAAAAGAAGATTCTGTGGTAAATAGATGTATATTATAAAAGTCAAAAGTCTTATTTTCACAATTAAATACAAATAATTGGTGTTATCTATCTGTCAGTTCAACGCTAATTTCGTCTTATTTTTGAAAATAATACAATATTAGTATTTTATTATATGACAGATAATGCAGGCTATTATTTAAAAAAAATGAGGTTTGCGCCTCGAGTCACAAGAGTGAATAATGCGCATAATCTCGAGTTTATATACAAAAGTTTATATACAAAAGTGCTCTTTTAGTTCCACCCTTACTTCTTAAGAAGTCCCATAAGCCAACTGAATGGCTTGTGCGGGTTAGGGGTAGGAACGGACCGCGGGCTTAAAGTCCCCTCCGAAGGACTAATACACAATAGGACAAACACAAATAAACAGCCATACCCCTGGTGGGATTCGAACCCACGACCTCCGGCTTGTAGTCAGCATGCACTAGACCACCGTCGGCGGTGTAATACTATACTCTATCTACTCCAATAAATTCATTAAATGAATTTCAAAAATAATTAAATAAAATCTAAAATCTGTCAAATGGTTAACCCAACTTTTTACCAATTTTAAATGTTATAGTCAATTTTAAATATTAATATAGTCGTCTTCTCCCAATTTAAAACCCGATTGGTTCAAATCACAGTGAATATTGAAATGCTTAACAACGCGAGTAATGAGTTCATTATTCCCGTTGTTAGGCAGGAAATTTATAATATTTTTCATTATTCACGACAGAAAACCCAATATTATGCAATAGGAGTAGATAATTGTATATAATGTTACATAATTTATGTATCAAGTTTTATAAACGCCATTATAATTACGAGTTTTATTGTTTAATAAAAACGAGTGTCTGGAGAAGTTTATAAAACGAGTTGCATACTATACTTTATCTACGACAAACAGAAATAAGAATTTATAAATGCTGCGACTTTATGGCATTTTACTCACTGGCTGAAGTTAACAACAGTTGCTTTTGGGCATTTTAGTCACAGGCTGAAGATAGCTTTATTATAAAATAAATTTCGAAAAAGTGAGGTTAAATTTGTCAGATGTCAAATATTTATGAATTAAAATTGGCTTTATAAAGCGTGATAAATATTTATTTTTGAAACTTAAATACAGTGTGTATTAAAACGAATAGATACACTTAAATAAAACAAGTGCCAAACCCCGCCCACTATGGTAGGGATTGAATCTTTAATACATTGGGAGATATTAGTCCTGAAATGCTGTTTAACGTGCGCAGGAATTTTTATGATTCGCTAGGGTATTGTTTAACTGCTGCTGGTGCACCAGACCATGGTCTATTTGAACATTTAATTTAGAAAAAAAGTTATTTTCGTTATTTTAGAATTATTTTTGTTTGCGAATTTATATGTTTTATTTTTATCGAATTCGTTTATGTTGTTTTAATGCATTTCTGCAAATAAAAACTAAGTATTGTTTAAAATCCATTAAATTCCACTGGAATTATTCCAGTTAATGGAGAAAATGTATTTCTTAAAAAATATAGACATTTCCCTACGACAGCGTCGGATCTACTGAACAAACACAGTAGATCAAACTGCATGCCCTTGTATCTGGCTGCATGTCGCGCTGTTGCCATATGCTACTATTGTTTCCTAAAAGGGTTGTTTTTCTTATTTTTTAATATTAAAAGTAAGAAAATTAACTAAATCAAATTATTTTTGACATATTATTAATTTTTTTGTTATTTTTAAAGTTTCAAACAAATAAAATTGAACTATTTATTAAATAATTATAATCGTTCTCTTATGATTTAAAACAACCTGGCATTCAGTTGGCTTATGGGACTTCTTAAGAAGTAAGGGTGGAACTAAAAGAGCACTTTTGTATATAAACTTTTTTGTAACTATGGTTCGTAATTACGAATGGCTTGGTTTAAACCACGCCCAATTCAAGTTTGTTTCTTTTTCTCTGATCAGAATATAATTTGTCATCCTTGTCTCCAGCCTTACTTACTTGATTCTATACAGTCTGTATATCACAATTTAGAATATTATAAAAAATTAAAACCCATTTTAGAAAGTTACAATCATTCAAGAATGTCAAAACAAATTATAAATGTAGGTATTAAAAATGTCAAAATTATTAAAAAAATAATATTTGTTTTAAAACTCATTGAAGGATTTTAGAATGTTAAGCACAAATTTTAGATTCATTTAAGACTGTAGATGTCGGAATAATTTTGTATTAAAATCTATTTTTACTGTTTATGTTACTAATTGTCTAAATTTTCCAGTTGAGAACTAAGTTAATTTAACCTAAACTACTAATTTAACCTAAACTACCGACTAATTTTTTTTTAATCGTATTTTTTAATATAGGTAATACTTATGTCAGCCACCATAGTGGCCCGAGACTTTGCCTACTACTTCAGAAGCCAAAACAATGACGGGGAGGCTATGCTGGCCCCGATATTTACCATCGACAAAAAGAACGTGTTCACGAAACAAGTGTTCTACGCCGACCAACTGTCCCTAAAAAACATTCCTCTCGTCGAGAGAACCCGCCCGGAAATCAACGACATGATGTTTCAGATTTTCAAGTACATTTTGATGGCGTTCGATAAGATCGACGTTAGAGATCCGGTGACGAAAGAGAGGCGCGTTGGGAGCGTTTTGGTGTTTTTGCCCGGTATTTACGAGATTGAAGAGGCCAGCAAGATGCTCAACCAATTCAACAGGTAATCTATACTTATTCTTGCTTTTGTCTTTAGTAGGTTTTTATAACGCTTTGTTGTGTTTTATATTATCAACCATAATCATCATTTTTGAATTTTATTTTGGTTTTAATGTTTTAACTATTTTATATAATTGGGAGGTTGCATTAGCAAAGAGTACTTTTTTAAATTAAAAACATAAACTTTACGTTTAAAATACCATCTTTATTTCATCTTTAACATTTTAATCTCTTTCGAGAGTTTTTTCCTTGTGTCAAATAGACTCTTACTGACCAGTATAAGTATAAGTATAAGTATAAGTATAAATGTCCAGTAGCTTCAGCGATATTCATCCGCCATGGAAAAACTTCCTCTTTTCTTTTATAAAAGAATAAATCAAGAAATATTTTTGAGAAATACAGGTATATTTCTATACTGAGAATCCAATCTTGTCCCTCCTGGGACGAAAATTCGCTTATCCCAGCAAATAAAATTTGGGCTAAAAGTGGCACACATATTAAACCTAATTGTGCAAACAATGGCCAATGGTAGGTATCAATTAATGGCCTATGTTTGTTCAAAGGAAAATACCCAGATTGGTCAATAATCATAAAAAAATTTCATCTCTAAAAATGGGCCCAATCACGGGGTTGCACAGTGGACTGGAATGGCAAAAAAGTGGCCAAAATCCATTAAAAAAACAATAAAGATATCATTGTGCAATTTTAACAATGTATTTTTGTGGTATTAATCTTGATCCAGTACAAATTTTAATTCAATTGGTTCAGTAGCGGCGATTTTTTAAGGGTTTAAATGATTAAAATTTTGTTTACATACTTAAGTTAAAAATTAAATTTTATTAGAAACTTTTAAAATATCATCATGAAGACTAGTTTCATATATTAATAGTTTAAATTCTGTGCAAATTAAATTATTTCAAAAACTATTTAAAATAAAATTAAACTTTTAGTAATAGCACCATGTTAATATTAGTTATTATATTATTTTTCGATTCCTTGTAAAATTCTAAACATATTTCATATAACATACCATATGTATACCTAAATTCAACTGTTTCTGAAATATTTAAATTACAATAATAATTTGAAATAGTTTGTCTTCCTCTGTCTGAGTACGCCATTTTTACTTATTTAACAAGACATATTGACATAATGTCACTATAGTAACTTATTTTCAATTAAAACTTTGGTATATTGAAGCTTCTTGATTTCTAACAGTTAAAAAATAGTATATTACACTACAAGGGCAGAAAGTGTGAGATTCCTGCACTGCGCGCCATGATCATGGCGCGCAGTTCAGGGCTCTCACACTTTCTGCCCGTGTAGTGTATACTATTTTTCTTGCTACCCCGGCCGAAAATACAACCCAACCCAACCCGGCCGAAAATACGGGAAAAAATTAAATGTGTATATCGAAACATATTGATGCCTGCCCCGACATTTGCGACACGAGCGAAGCCTTCGTAGCCCTTGTAGTGTAATATATTTGAAAATACGTTGTTTCGTCCCCGATTCCAATGCATCAAACGTAAATTTGATCAATGCATCAAACGTAAATTTTCTGCCGTGGAATCGGGGACGAAACAACGTATTTTCGGCTGAGGTAGTAAGAAAAACATTTATTGATAACATTTCGAATGCGAATATTTCAGAAACCGTTGAGTTTAGGTATATGGTTTATTATTATTATTATTATTATTATTATATGAATTATGTTCAGAATTTTACAAGGAATCGAAAAATAAACAGGGTGTCTCACCAGCCTGAGGATATCAATTTGAAATTTTTATAGCAATTATTGTACAATTTAATCTACCTTTTAAATAAATTTCAAATTGATATCCTTAGCCGTTCTCCGTAAACGTAGAAAAAAAGTATTTTTTAGTACCTACATAACCACACTTTTAAATTTTTTGGGACACTTAAAATAAAAAAGTTAAAGGGGGGCGACATTATAGGGAATCACCCTGTACACTAAAAAAAGTAACGGCCCTAAAACTGATCCTTGTGGCACACCAGTTTTTACTATTCTAATATCACTATTTATATCACAGATTTTGGTAAATTGTCTTCTATTATTAAGGTAGTTTTAAAAAATTTCAAATGCATTTGCCCTAACACCTATTTTAAAAAGTTTGTCTGGCAGAATGGTGTGGTTTACAACATGAAATGCTTTACAAAGGTCCAGGAAAATAACCACAGTTTAAATTTTAACTTTTTTATTAGTAAAAAGTTTCAATTTACAAACACCCCGTAAAATTTAATGTTTTTTTCGAGGTTTTTTTATTAAACATTTTATATATGAAAATCAATTTAGATGTGCTCAATTGTGTTTTTGGTCGCTTATCGCCGATTGTAATCCACCGTGGTGGGTTGCTGGGATGTTTCACTATATTTTTAATTACATATAGAGTATTAATTTCACTGACCAACAGTCATTTTACCACAGGGTGGCCAACAAGTTTTTCAATTTGAAAATAATGTTTTTTTTAGCCAAAATGGTGCATTTTTACCGATGTTTATCAAGAGTACCTTTTTACGTATAAAACTCTAAATTTTTATATTCTACAACTTCACACATTCTACAAATTTCACACAAAAAATTTAAGGCTAAAAATACCCTAGGTTTAATATACTTGTAAATAAAATTTTTAAATTTTATTGTTAGTTTTACATTCAGCATAGCAAGTTAAGCTTGCAAAATTTTATTATTTTATCTGAAACTGTTTAGAAAGTAATAATAAAAAACAATCTTCAAGAGGCTGTAGCTCCCTTAGGGGCCATTTGCCTATGTTTAAGGGAAGATTTAGATAGAATAATAATTTTTCTTCATAATCATTGCAGGACTGGCCCAGACGACATTAAATGGGACATTATCCCGCTACATTCCAGCTTACCAAACGACGAACAAGCTAAAGTGTTTAAAACCCCTCGAGCCGGCTACAGAAAAATCATTCTTTCCACCAACATAGCTGAAAGTTCCATTACAGTGCCAGATATATACTTCGGTATGCCGCAAGGTCGCCCATCAGGGCCATTGTCAGTAATTATTGTTTCTATTTTATGTTTCTAGTCGTGGACTTTTGCCTTACGAAAGTTTTGGTTGTGGACCCTTTGACGAAATACAGCAGCTTGCAGCTGGAATGGGCCTCGCATGTTAATTGCGAGCAAAGAGCTGGTAGGGTTGGTAGAGTGGATAATGGTAGAGTCTACAGGATGGTTCCTGCCAAGTTTTATGAGGTAAAAAAGTTTTTTGCCGTACGTACAATTGGCGTCCCCGAAATGTGAACGATTTTTGGTTGTCATGGATTTTTTTCATAAAATTCATTAGTTCATTAGTAATGTTACAAATAGAGGGGAGAATACTAAGAATAAGAACAATATCTTAAATCGTTCTATTTTTTTAATAATATTTTAACAAACAATACAATATTACAAATAAATTAAATATATTTTGGTTTTGTACAGTTGCGGACAAAAAATTTCGGGCACCATTTGACATTCACTGACACATGCGGTGAAACAACCTTTATACCCTGGTAACCTTAATTTTTAATTGTGTCACTTCTTACCAGTATTGTTTTGGAGGTTTAATAATCTCATGCTTTTACCCTGCCTTAAGAAAAACTTCACATAAAATAAATGGTATATTACTAGTATTACAAATGATTAGAAAAGTCCACTGTACTGCTTTTGAAATTCTTTGCTTAACAAATAGGTATAACAGTTTGTTTAACTCTTTTTTATCACGAATCGTAGGTTAAAATGACGTTGGATAATACGCGTCTTCTTGATGTCTGCCTTTAACTGGACTAAATTAGCAAATTAAAATTAATATTTTGTCATTGCTCCATTAGCTTGTATAACTTTCGTCAATCGAGTGTTCATGGAGAGACATACATTCCTGTTATAGTTCTGGGGCAATTCATGCCATGCATCGGTGATGGCGATCAATAACTCCTCTGTATTGTTAAATACTAAATTCCGACGTTGTAAATTTCGTGTTAAAAGACCCCACATGTTCTCGATCGGGTTAAGATCGGGGCTTTGACTTGGCCAGTCAATAACGTCTATATTATGGTTCTCGAACCACGCCGCTACCCTGTGTGCAGTATGAACAGAGCAATTGTCCTGCTGAAACACAAAATCACCGTTGGGGAACACTCGTGTTACCGAAGGGAGCATTACGTCTTCGAGGACCCTAATATAGACGTTGCTGTTAAACCAATCTTGCACATATAGCATTATGCCAGGATTAACGGCTGAGACCCATGCCCACATGTTCACAGAAAAACGTCCGCTCTGTTTTGTTTCTTGAACATATCTCTCTTCGTAACGGGTATTTCTTGGTCTGTAGACTTTTAGCCGACCATTTGGAGACGACTGAAAAACTTTTTCATCGGAGAAAACAACTCAGTTCCAAAAGGCATCATCTTTTATAATGTGTTCTAAAGCGAATCCCATTCTGGTTTCTCGATGGCGAGGTGTTAGTCGTGGTTTCCTTGCGGCCGCACAATTTATTAGTCCAGCTGTTCTAATGCGCCGACGTGCTGTCCGAACAGAAATTGGAAAATTTGTTCTGTTTACCGCCTGAATAGCGGTGGTAAAGGGAGCATTTTCTACAACATCAATCAATGCTTCGTCTTCGTCAAGTGTGGAGCCTCGATGTCGTCCAGAGCCACGTCGCCGCTCGACCATTCCATCTTCTTCAAATTTTTTTACAATCGAATTAATTGTACTTTTCGGTATCCCCAACAATCCAGAAACTTGCCTTTGCGTCATTCCATTTTGGGTTATAATTAAAACTTTATGAAAGTAATTTACTAGAGGCATGCTTGCAAAGATTTGACTAAAATAAAACCTGACATTTGCAAAATTAAAATTTCAAAACGTCAAATGATAAGGGGAATAAAGCTTAAGCTACATCTACTTTTTCAAATGTCAGGAAAATTTCTGCCCGAAATTTTTTGACCGCCACTGTACAAGTAGGTAAATAAAAAATAAAAATAACAACTAAATTAACATATTGCTCAAGAAAATTGTTATTTAAATGCTAAGCTTAAGCTATTTTAATACTTAATTGCAGATACATTAGGTGCCACAACACTTTGCAACCTTCTTGGCATGGACATGTCGTATGACAGCAACCTCTTCCCAAGAATTTTCAACATCATTCTGTAGTTCATTTCGGTTTGCTGGCCTAAAGTCCCGTTGATATAATTTTTAACTATAAAACCCCACACGTTATCAATGGGATTTAAATCAGTACTTCTAGCTGGCCATGGCAAAACAGTTATGTGGTTGTTGTTTGACTGGTGCATTAGACTGGGCCTAAAAAATTATGGTGAAAGTTAGTCCATAATATTAATATTAAGAGGTCTATCATCGTAATTTTAGATTTTTTTTCCTGAGCGAGTTTTTGTCTCAGAACTCCCAAACCATTGAGTTTAACAAAATTGACTTGAAAATATTTTTTTAAGAAAATTAAATGCTCTACAAAAAAGGTTAAAGTGAAATTTTCAGATGAACCGTTTCCTTAAAATCATGCCTTAAAAATTGGTATAGTTTTACATTTTGATCTTTTAAATTGGAATTTTGTAATTCATGTACCCATAAAAGAGACAAAAACTTGCTGAGGAAAAAAAAACTAAAATTGCGATGATAGACCTCTTAATATTAATATTATGGCCTCAAACTTTCACAATAATTTTTTTTTGTCACCCCAAACCATATTTGCGATATACTTTTCAAAAAAAAAAAGTTGATTTTTTTGGCCCAGTCTACTGGTGCATTGTCCTGTAATATAATATTTATTAGAATCATTTTTGTCTACTATATAGTTTTCTAACTATTTGAGGTTCTTACTGTGTAGTTCTCCTCAAATCTTGCGTCTCTTGGGCGATATACACGAAGCCTTCCATTATTGCAAGATTGGAACGTTTTTACATCAGAAAATATAACATTATTCCAAAATTCCTCTCCATAAATTAGATGGTCATTGGCGAACTGAACTCTCCTGCGCTTATTTTCGCCAGTTAAAAAAACCTTAGGAGCAGCAACACAGTTTTTTAAGCCAGCTTGTTTCAATCTTTTTTGAGCTGTTTTAAGAGATTCTGAAAATTGTGTATCTTCTCAGGCCTTAACTGCGCTATTGAAATGATTTTGCCTAATATGTGCGACAAGAGCAATGTCTTCATTTTCGTTGGAGATTTTACATATACCTCTCAATCTTTGTTGTTCTTGCCAACGTTTCTTGATATAAAATATACAGCTTTTACTGACCAATTTTTTTCTAATTTGGCTATTGCCCTGGACCTCTGAGCCTCAGTTGAGTGGGGTGGCATTTTTGATATTCCAATTGACAACTAAACTGCCCGTCAAAATTAACGCATTATAAGTAAAATTCTAACTCTAAAACGCCTTTATAAAATTTTGTATAAAAATACTTTAACTTATATCTCAGTTTACGTGTTCGAGGGTTTTCGAGAAAATATTTTTAAAGCCCTTTTATTTATTATTTAATCATTAAAAACGTTCGAAAAATAAATTTTAGGGATTTTTTTTTTAGTAAATAAAAAATATGCTGTTAAAGAGTATTTTATTAGTATACCCTGAAAATTTTGTACAAATGAACTGTAACGAAGATACAGCGCTTCAAAATCAGTAAAAATGACCCCTTTTTGATTATTTTGCTGAAAAGTGGTTATTTTCGTTACTGTTCGTTTGATTTGTGTCTTTTAAAGCATATATTTTATTTACTTAAAAAAAAAATTCCCTATAAAAGTTTTTTCAAGCGTTTTATATTATTCAATAAAAGGGCTTTAAGGATATTTTCTCGAAAAACACTTAAACACGTAAACTGAGATATAAGTTAAAGTATTTTTAGTAAAAATTTTACAAAGATTGGTAAAGGCGTTTTAGAGTTAATTTTTTTGTACTTGTTTTGCGTTAGTTTTGACGCGCAGTGTATTATCAAATTTGACAACTACCGACGATACTGACGCATATAACACGATTAAATTTTGCCGTTCACATTTCGGGGACGCCAAATGCAGGGTCACCCTAACCACAGGGCTAAATGGGCTATAGCCCCGGGGCGCAACCTTTATATTATATATATTTTTTATTATTATATACTATTTTAATTGAAAATCTTTCCTAGAAAAAATAAAAGAATAACCCGTTCTGAATGAAATAGAAAATATTACACAAAAAAAAACAGAAAATATTATATGCATTAGACTGGGCCAAAAAAATCAACTTTTTTTTTTTTTTAAAAGTATATCGAAAATATGGTTTGGGGTGACAAAAAAAATATTGTGAAAGTTTGAGTCCATAATATTAATATCATAGCAATTTTTTTTTCTCAGCAAGTTTTTGTCTCAGAACCATTATGATAGATGACCGAAGGTCCATTTAGTTTAACAAAATTGACTCGAAAATATTTTTTTATGAAAATTAAATGCTCTAAAAAAAGGTTAAAGTGAAATTTTCCGTCACATGAACCGTTTCCTCAAAATCATTTTGATCTTTTAAATTGGAATTTTATGTAAAAATCAGTAAAAAACCGATAAATATTCTTATGGGAAATCAAATGCTTTACAAAAAAAGCCTCTCAGCATTTTTGGCTAAATTCACTCACTCAAAAGTTATTCAAGGTTAAAATTTCGTTTTGACTTCAAATTTAACCTTGAATAACTTTTGATGGAGTGAATTTAGCCAAAAATGATAAAAGACTTTTTGTAGAGCATTTGATTTCCCATTGGAATATTTATCGGTATTTTTTCAGGGTACTGATTTTTACATGAATTACAAAATTCCAAAATTAAAAGATCAAATTGGAAAACTATACCAATTTTTAAGGCATGATTGTAAGAAAACGGTTCATCTGACGGGAAATTCCAATCAAACTTTTTTTCTAGAGCATTCAATTTTCTTCAAAAAATATTCTTAAGTCAATTTTGTTAAACTCAATGATTTGGGAGTTCTGAGATGAAAACTCGCTCAGGAAAAAAAAATCTAAAATTGCGATGATAGACCTCTTAATATTAATATTATGGACTCAAACTTTCACCATATTTTTTTTTGTCACCCCAAACAATATTTTCGATATACTTTACAAAAAAAAATGGTCGATTTTTTTGGCCCAGTCTAATATGCATGCAACAATAAAATTTGGTTCTGTTAGCGCCAGTTTTCTATTGTCAGCGGCAGTAAAACACATCTCTACTAATATCACTGTTGCGAAAGCACCATATTTGTGTATAATTTTAATGATATGTTTCTTTGTTGGGACAAAGAAAATTAATCGATTTTAGTTTGATATTATTAATCAGTTTTTTATTTACTATAAATTTTGTTTTTGTTCATATAGTTTTTTAATTGGACGCCTTTCTGCAGAAAGGAACCAACCCACAAAACAAAAAAAATTGAGATATTTAGCCTATGAACTAATTAAGTATGTATAATTTATCTGCAAAATAGGTCATAGCCAAGATGCAAGTGTAGTGAAATCTATTAATCATTGAACCAACCAACATTCAATAATAGTGTGGATTACTTACTAATCCAGAATTAGAATCTGTAGAATATCTGCAAGTGGGTTGGATCTTTTTTGTAAAAAAGCAGGCTGGTAGACCCACTACCAAAGTCTTCAAAGATTTCCTGCTTCTGCAAAATATAAAGTCTTGATGCATTTTTTTGGTAGCTTACAAGATGAAGTGGGGTTGGAAGATGATGTGGACGAATTTCAAATAGAATCAAAATTAATTCATATTACCATTATAATAGTAATACCAGTTGTATTTTGTTTGGAAATAAATAATTGTCGCTTTTCTTTAAATACATACATACATCAGATAGTAGTTTTCATAAATTGCAGAAAGGAACCAACCAACAAAAGCCCATTTTTTTCGTCACCCTTACACATAACATCACAAAATCCACCTCATGAAATTATTAAATTAAATCTCTTAAACCTCCGTAAGTCCAAAATCGGCATAAAATTAACAGGTAATTTTAAAATTATTAAAATCTTTGATAGCTTTTTTCTCAGTTTCATCATGGTGTGGGTTGGTCCCATTCTGCAGAAAGCCGTCCAATTTTGTATGAATTTTGTTTTTGTGTAGTTTCTTTTATTTTTTGTTTACTATAAAGTTTATTTTGTTTATTTAGTTTTTTTTTAATTTTGTAAGGATTTTATGTTTTTATTTAGTGTAATGATAATAAATGAACATTTTCCAGTTCTAACACTTTTGTATAACTTGTATAACTCTTCTCACTAACTCCTCTTATGAAGAAGGGCGCATTATTTTTATTAGCCCACAGGCGCTGAATATCTTAAGAGGGCCCTGGCCCAAAAAATTCTAATAATAAATTTTTTGAAGTCGATGGACAAAACCAGCGTGCCGGAGATCCTTCGCGCGCCCCTCGAGAGCGTCGTCCTGAAATCCAAGATGCTAAACGTGCACGACACGCCCAAACAAATCCTCGCGCTCTCGATGAACCCGCCCAACCTCAAAAACATCGACTGGACCATCTTAAACCTGAAAGAGGTGGGCGGCCTGCTGCAAACCTGCCGCGGCGTCCGCTCCACTTCCGACGGCGATCTAACTTTTTTGGGCACCGTCATGGCTTCGATGCCTTTGGACGTCAGACTCTCCAAGTTGATTGTACTCGGGTACATGTTCAGTTGTCTCGAGGAAGCCATCATTATCGGTGAGTCACATTTATTTATTAGCTCGTCTTTGGTGTTTTGCTGCTTATTATATGGAACCCCTCTATCATTATCGAACTATTTATCTTGTTTAGTTTTGTCGTAAGTAATATCATAAGGGCATTTAATTTTTCCGAAAAGAATCGAAAAAACACGTTGCTAAGTAATATTTTAACAAAAAGCATGAGTGCTGGTGGCAACAAAAATCCGAGTCGAAGAGGAGGATTTTTGCACCTGCACGAATGCATTTTGTTAAAAAATATTACTTAGCATTGTGTTTTTTCGATTTTTTTCACAGGAAAAATTAGATGCCCGAATGGTATTTGACAAGACTATTTCATGAGTAACAGTTAACAATTAAAATATAAATTGCAATTTTTGGTGACAACAGCTGTCAAGTTTTGCCGCGGGTAAACTCGAATAAACTGCTGACAGGTGCTGTCACACAGTTTTTTCATCAGAAACCATTTGTAATTCAAAATTGCGCGTTTGTGATTGGTGGAAATTAAGACGAGGGAAATAGTCGTAATTATACCTTTTGTAAATACCAGTTTTTCCACACCCTTGATCTTATCTTAAAAAACAGCAAAATAAGCATTAAAAAGGCGTTATCAAATAAAACAATAGCGAAAATTTCGTTTCGAAAGTTATACAAAAAAACCCTGCAACGTTTCCAGCGGAACCTGAAAAAGAAAAACTGTGGAGAATAACTTCATATGAAAAACTATTAATTATTACTAATTCCGCTATTTATGGTACACCCTGTTGTATTCCTAGGTATAACTAGGGTTTTAAAATTTCGGGAAAAATTGATACGGCGAAAAAAAACCGTTTTTTCCGGAAAAAAAACGGAAAAATTGTGAAATTTTCAGAAAAATTGACTTTTATTTTTTAAATTTTATTCAAAGGGTAATGGAAAAAAATGCAAATTTTTATCTGAAATTTTCCAAGTTTCCGACGCTGATTATAATCATCATCATCAATCAAACAAAACATTTTCGGTGCTGTATTAACATAACTTTTATTTGACACTTTAATTTATAAAATTATAATTTTGTAATTTAACTTTATAAATCATTCATTACTTATTTTGTAGTTGGATATTTTATTAGATCAATTTAATTTAATTCAATGTTGCAAATTGCAGATGCTTGAGAACTTTTAAAAGTGTCCATAATTGCTCAAAAATGCTCATAAATGCTCGAGCATAATATTATTTAAACGCTTAAATTTTTAAAATTTATTATGATTAGAAAATGTTAAAAAAAAAGATAGAGAACTTTTTAAAATTGCAAGAGCGCTTATAAGCCCTTTTCGCGCATTTATAAGCTTTTTTATAATCCCGCTTTTTAGTTTTGGCAGGAAATTTAAATATCTCGCTTTTCGAGAATTCATAAACATTATTAAAAGTGCTTATCCTTCAATATTATCCAAGTTGAAAGTTTGTTTTTGGTTTTTCAGGACGGAAAAATTATATTTCTTAAAAAAAATAATGTAGGTTGTAGAGGGCGCTGCTTGAGACACTTTGCATACGTTTAAATGGTCACATATTTATTGCGCCTTAGTGTATTTACGTTTTAATAAAAATATTACCTACTAAATTTGTAGCGTCTCCTACTTTTAATAAATATTAAATTTTTAAATCACAATTAAATGGATGCACTGAACAATTTAAATGCAAACATCTTGAAAACAATTACTAGCAGCGACACTTAAAAAGTATACCTTTTTCACATAATAAAGATAAAAAAGTAATATTTTTATTAAAAACGTAAATACCCTAAGGCGCAAAAAAGATGTGTCCATTTAAAGAAATTTAATTTTCTTGGCCTGAATAAATCAAATTTTGTGCAAAAACGTTTTTTTTAAGTTATAATAAAATCGAAAACGAACTTTTAACTTTGTCCTTGGTTATTATCAACTTTTGTATAGAGGTAAATTTATTTATATCGCATTATTTCGGTTTTAGAAATATGTGGTATGATTTTGTACAGACATTTTAGGGACAGCTTGTACATAATATTCTAATTATATTTTAGCCGCTGGTTGCTCTATTCAAAACATTTTTTCAATTCCATTTCAACAAAGATTTTTGGCATATAAAAAACTGCTCCTTTGGTCAGATGGAAGTTGTAGTGATGCCATAACTCTGCTTACTCTTTACAACGTAAGTGTTTTATTCCAACAGTTTTTAAACCAGAAATGCAAAAATAAACGCATTGTTTTAGGTTTGGAATTCTTTTCAAAGAGAAAATCGATTTCAAAACATGTCGGAAGCTGTAGCCTGGTGCAGGAAAAACTACGTGAGCTTCAAAGGGATGAAAGAGTGGACGTTGCTGATTTCAGAAATTAAAAGTAGACTGAATAGTTTCAACATTGTCGACACCGGCGGCCAGCGCCGCAGAAATTTGACAGAGACAGAAAAACCAACAGTACTAAAAGTGAGTAAGATTTATTTTATAACAAAACCAACAAACTTTGATTTTTTAAATATTGAATTTGACATTTAAAAGAAGAAAAAACGAATAGTGTTGAATTCATCAAAATCTTCAAAACACTTTTCTAAAACCCGTTGCGCGCGTCTGGTAACTAAAACATCTATTCTGCATGCAAATAATTTATGCAAGTAGGAAAAATGATTTAAACAAATATATTATTAGTATATTATTATACGACTCAAGCCGTCAGACTAGAGACGTAAATCCTCCGAGTGAATAATACGCATTATCTCGACTGCAAAATAATTTTTTTTTAGTTCAGTTAAGTAATTTTCACTAATAACAAAAATTTATTACAACCTTACTCTCTTCCGATTTTAATGATCCTTATAGTCGCCCCTCGTATACAGTGTGTATTAAAACGAATAGATACACTTAAATAAAACAAGTGCCAAACCCCGCCCACTGTGGTAGGGATTGAATTTCTTGTGGGGATACGTCAAGTCGAAAATTTATGGATTTAAAGAGCTCAGGGCTAATAATCTCGATGAATTAAGGGTGCAAATCTTTAATACATTGGGAGATATTAGTCTTGAAATGCTGTTTAACGTGCGCAGGAATTTTTATGATAGGCTAGGCCCTAGCCGCTAGGGTATTGTTTAACTGCTGCTGGTGGTCTATTTGAACATTTAATTTAGAAAAAAAGTTATTTTCGTTATTTTAGAATTATTTTTGTTTAAGAATTTATAGGTTTTATTTTTTTCAAATTCGTTTGTTTTGTTTTAATGCATTTCTGCAAATAAAAACTAAGTATTGTTTAAAATCCATTAAATTCCAGTTAATGGCGAAAATGTATTTCTTAAAAACTATACACATTTCCCTACGACAGCGTCGGAGCTACTGAACAAACACTTATCTCTGACAAACACACTAGATCAAACTGCATGCCCTTGTATCTGGCTGCATGCCGCGCTGTTGCCATATGCTATTATTGTTTCCTAAAAGGGTTGTTTTTCTTATTTTTTAATATTAAAAGTAAGAAAATTAACTAAAACAAATTATTTTTGCCATATTATTAATTTTTTTGTAATTTTTAAAGTTTCAAACAAATAAAATTGAACTATTTTGGACATTTTACACTTTAAACCTCCAGGAATAATTTACCCAAAATCTAGTCGGTTCGGAATTTTTTCGATGTATGTATCTACTGATTTTTTAAACTTTTTTTAAGAAATGGACGTAGAACCAAAATAAAGTTTTACGGGAGAACCGATTGAAATTCACGCTGCATAGGCGTTTGTGTGGTAACGCTCGACTTTAAGAATGTATAGCATAAATAAACAAATTCTATCTGAACCTTTCGAAAGATAGTTTACCACCCTACTTAAAAAAATGATAATCTTGAAAATCAGTTTTTGAACACTAGGTCCCTTTTCTTTTTCTTCATACGCAGAAGCTTTAACTATGCAAATAGATAGGAAAATCGTCGCTTAGAAGAATCGGTGTACATTGTACACTGTACAATGCGCACAAATCCACAAAGACTAAATGCACGTGCACGGTTGGTCAACGCTTGGTTTTTAAACTTGGTAAACTTCGCACAACCCTACTTCTGCTTTACCGGTCATTGTAAATTCCTTAGCTTTCTAAGCTTCTAAATATATTCTTAACTTTATGTTTTAAAATGTATAAATATAAGCAAACTTTGATTTCAAGGTGATTATGTGCGGCGCATTTTACCCGAACTACTTCATTCGTTCCTCGGAGTGCCATCGCGAAAACGAGGAAAAAGAACACGTGCGTGCTGTGGGCGGGCGTAATCCCTTACGCACGGTCTACTTGACAGGTTTCGATAACCAGCAACCGGGGGCGCTGTACGCCAAGCAGATCAAGAAAATGTTCTCCGACGGACACAACGAGCAAAACATTAATGTGGGCTTCGACGGAAGCTGGTAAGTTAAATATTTAACGTCTTTTTTGATATTTGAACTGCCGATTTTGACTTCCGAGTTGTTAATTTTTTACATTTTAAATGTGTCATTGGAGATATTTTGTTTTTAGCAAAGTGTATGTGGAGTTTAAGCAAAAACCCATAGACGACTTTTTAACAGTAAAAGAGAATGGTAGAAGCGCCATTGTCACATTGCCGGGAAACATACCCATGCAAATGTACGAGTGTATAAGGAAAAGGCAGCTAAAATATGAATTTAACTTAAAATTGCTTTCGTAAGTTTATTTTTTTTAAGGTGATTTTAGTGTAATTTCATATATTTTTAGAAAAGATGAGGCTTTCAAGTTGGCGGAAAAGTATGGTTTAAATCAGGCTTCCGCCTTGCCTTCTTTGATTGACCCAAACGAAAAAAATTGTTTCACCCCAATTGACTATAATCCAATTCCGACTTTGGATGTTGAATTTATTAGTATTCATATTACTTCAGTAAGTATTTTATGGTACATTAAAAAAACGGTGCGTGTACTTATGTAAGTACTCACGGTAGAAGATTTTGGAAATTTTAAAAATATAATTTTTTGTAAATTTAGAAATTTTCACTCACCTTATCGTTTTTTACTCGTCAAACCCTTTAATTTGATACCAGTTAAGGTAATAAAATTTCCGAAAAAACGAAAAAATTTTATTCAAAGGGTAATACGAAAAAATGCAAAAGTAAATTTTTCTGAAAATTTCCAAATTTTTACGGATAATATCCGTACACTGATACCGAGAAAAAATTGAAATTCCGACGCTGATTATAATCATAATAATTATTCATTTTATTTTAATTTAGTAAGAATATTCTACCGGATATAACTTTTATTTAAAACTTCGATTTATAAAATAATAATTTTGTAATTTAACTTTATAAATCATTTATTACTTTGTAGTTGGATGTTTTTAATGGACTTTTTGCAAAAAAACAACCGACGGTATATTTCACATTTACGTTTATTTTCTTAAATCAATTTAATTTAATTCAATGTTAGTTTTATTTTTTTTTTCTAATAAAAGATATTTTTTTTAAATTAAAATAATGTTAAGTTGTTGATTGCCACTTTCTTTCAAATGTATATATTTTCCAAAAAAAAACAATTTTTCCAAGGTCCCAGGTTTTTCCCCCAATTTTTCCGTTTTTCTCCGACACTTTAAAACCCTAATACCAGTGTCAAGGAGTTTGTGAAAAAATAGGCAATCCATCTTTCAGCGGCCGCCATGTTGGATTCTCTTACTTACGCACAGCCACTAATTTCTTACGCCATGAAAATACAAGCGAATTGTTCCTACGTTCACTTTCCTTCATGCTAAAATTTTACTTTAAAGTACAACTTCGAAAACAAAAAGCATTGTATTGAATGGGAATTTTATTTTTTTTATATATTTTCTTTAGAACATCGACGCAGGCCACTTTTGGTGCCAGCACACGAACGAAGAGACACGAAACTTGGGCATGATTATTGAGCGTGAGCTGAACAGACAGGTGCTTCACCCTGCCATCGCTACGTGCGAAGAGTTCCACAAGCTAAATAACGCGAACATTTACGCCGCCAGATGGAGCACCGACAATAAGTTCTACCGATGCAAAATCAGCGCTGCCAGCGGCAAATACGCTTACGTAAGTACTAGAAGACTTAATTTTGGGGTTTTTTGAGACCACACAGGTCTTGCAACGCTGGGTTTCGATAAATTATCTGACACAAATAAAAATCATATTTATACTTACCTGCCTTATTTATGTAAACAAGAAATAAATTTATTAAAAACTGTGATATACATCTGAGAAATACAATACATGCAAATGATCTTTTACTTCCGCTATATAAATATAAAAAACACAAGAAACTTTTAATTATTGGTGCGCTAAACAAGCTTTAAAAAACTTTAAAAAAAAAGTTATGTTATACATGGTAATTCACCTAAGATTCATTAGAAGTTTAAGGAGAACGGAAAAAGATATCGATTTAAAATTTGTTTAGCAATTATAAGGAATGTAATCTATTTTTTATATTTTACGTAGAATTGAAAAATGCAATAATATTTATATGGTTCCATTTGAAAAACCAAAGTTGATATCACTTCCGGTTTAACCGGAAGTGATAACGCATTGAAAATAATTTGAAAAAATAGTTTACAGCCTTACAATATTCAAATCGATATCTTTTTTCGTTCTCCATAAACTTCCATTTAAAAAAATGTAAACAGAAACAACGTGCACGCTATAGGATTTAAAAAAATGTAGGTTATGTTTATGTATCTCCATAGAACATCCCTAGACCTTAGCGCCATCTGGATTTTGCTTCAATAATGGAGTCAATGTATTATGATTATAGTCTGCGTTTTTAAGATTTAAAACTAAGTTTATTAGCAATTTTTGTTTTTAAATGTTTTGTAAAGGTGTACAAATTAAAATTGATTTTTAAAAGCCGTTTTGAGGTATTTAGTAGGATTTAAAAATAATTTTTACCAATTTTTTAACGATTATAAAATGTTTTGAAAATGTTTTTAAATTAAGTTTATGGACAAAAAATACAAGGTTTTTAACAATTTCTTAAAAAAATTTTAAACAAAATGTTTAGAAATGGTTTTTAAAACCCCTCTTGAGCGTTTTTAAAGATTTTTTTCTACTCCCACCTTTAAAACGCCCTTTATCGTACATGTTTCCTTGACACTAAGTGACCTTTTAAATACACATTGACAAGTTGTGGCTTTACGGCGCTTTAGTCACGAGCTGAAGTTAGCAACAGGTTTTTAGTGACGGGCTGAAGTTAGTTTTAAGTTGGTTGACAGTTGTCAAATGTCATACAATCGTTAAAATAAAGTGCCTTTCTTGTAAAATAATACTAAATGTGAAAATTATTTTATTATCTCAATACAAAAATACAAAAATATTAAATAGTTTCTCAACGCCAATATTTGAAAAGTTTTAATTTCGCCGGCAGTAAACTATAACTTAAATTCGGGCACGGACTCTACTGTAAAGTCCTCATAAAACATTTCCTTTACTTTCATTGTGAAAAACTGTCAATTTTCGATATACAGTTGTATTCATTAAAAAAGCGTACAAGAATTAGAATGAGAGAAAACTGTCAACATTATTGCGTAAAACCGGCTTTCCACTGACTTAAGTCACTATAACTGACAGTAGAAAATAAAAATGTCAGTTAAAAAGGCTCAAATAGTATCAAGAATCGAAGAAGAATGGTCAATTCGTACTGTGGTATAATAGAAATAAAAAATCTATATTATAATTAAGCAACGCTGGGAACAGGAAGATTTACTAAACCAAAAAGTTGGTTCAGGTCGGCCCAAAATGTCCACCCCTGAACAGGATGCTGCTTTTTTGAGATATCTGAGGATTTATGGGAAACTATAGTTGTATATATACAACTATACTATACCTACTATACTGCTGGGAAGATATTAATCCAAATATTGTATTAAATTTAATTCAGTTCATCCCAAATAGATTGGCTCAAGTAATAAAAAAACAGGGATGCATGACTAAATATTTTTTTTTTTAATGTTTGTTTTTTCATTATTAAAAGGTAATAATTTTTGTAATATTATTTAATTAACCTACGACGTCAATGCTCTTTATAACCTATAATAATTATTTTTTCTTACTACCTCGACTCAAAATACGTTGTTTTGTCCCCGATTCCACGGCAGAAAGTTTACGTTTCTTGCATTGGTCAAGCTATACGCGCACACTCTAATAGCGGGAGTAAAAATTTTTTAGTCGTGTGCTTAACATTCAAATTTCGTACCGACAACATGAGAAACACAAAAATATGACAGTTTTAAACCATAATTTTGCAATTATAACAACAAATAAACAATTTATGTTTTTACTTTTTTACTTTTTATGTTGTTTTAAGTGTTTAATGGTACTTTTATTTGTTATAAAGTAGTAATTTGTTAATTAAAATACAACCTTTTATTTTTACTGTATTGGCACCGCTGAATTACCATGACAACGCTACAGTTTGATTGATTTTGAATGTAAACGTCAGAATTAAATTAAACGTCAGATTTTAATTTTGACACAAGTTTTTTTATATACATTTAATTTTTTCCCGTATTTTCTGCCGGGTAGTAAGAAAAATAGTATACACTACACGGGCAGAAAGTGTAAGAGCCCTGAACTGCGCGCCATGATGCCCTCGGCTTCGCCTCGGGCATCATGGCGCGCAGTGCAGGAATCTCACACTTTCTGCCCTTGTAGTGTAATATACTATTCTTACTACCTCGACTCAAAATAGGTTGTTTCGTCCCCGATTCCACGGCAGAAAGTTTACGTTTCTTGCATTGGTCAAGCTATACGCGCACACTCTAATAGCGGGAGTAAAAATTTTTTAGTCGTGTGCTTAACATTCAAATTTCGTACTGCCAACATGAGAAACACAAAAATATGACAGTTTTAAACCATAATTTTGCAATTATAACAACAAATAAACAATTTATGTTTTTACTTTTTTACTTTTTATGCTGTTTTAAGTGTTTAATGGTACTTTTATTTGTTATAAAGTAGTAATTTGTTAATTAAAATACAACGTTTTATTTTTACTGTATTGGCACCGCTGAATTCACGGCCTACTGTTGTTTATTTATCAAGCTCTTCAAATGGAGATAGGTACATAAATACACATTTAATTTTTTCCCGTATTTTCGGCCGGGTTGTATTTTCGGCCGAGGTAGTAAGAAAAATAGTATACACTATACGGGCAGAAAGTGTGAGAGTCCTGAACTGCGCGCCATGATGCCCTCGGCTTCGCCTCGGGCAGGAATCTCACACTTTCTGCCCTTGTAGTGTAATATACTATTAATGACTTATGTCAGTGATAAGCCGGTTTTAAGCAATAATATTATTTTGACAGTTTTCCCTCATTCTAATTCTTGTACGCTTTTTTATTGAATACAACTGTACATTTCGATTTATAACCTTTATAATTGTGTTTATAAAATGTAAAAATGTGACATTTGACAGTTTCCCCTGTTGTTTCATAGATGACGCTCTATACAAAATTTTGATTTAAATCATTTTAAAATAATAGTTTTTGTCGTAGAAAAAGTATAGTATGCACCTCGTTTATAAACTTTTCTACACACTTATTAACTTAAATTAAATTTGTGTATAAAATGGTGTTTATCAAACTTGATACATAATATACTATTATATAGAATTTAGAAGCAATTTGACTAATTTTTTTAAGTTTTTAATTAGGTATTTAAAATGTGATTTATTGGTACCTACTTGGTTTTATGAAGATGTTTAGGAGAATATATTAACAATTTAAATAGTTTAAAAGATGTTTTGTAAAAGAAATTTTTAGTTTTTTAAATAAGTTTTAAAAATGGTTTAAAACTACCATTTTTTTACTATTCTTATAGTATATTATGTATCAAGTTTTATAAATGCCATTTTAGCAACGAGTTTTATTTGGCACGAGCGAAGCTTGCAAGCGAGTGTTTAATAAAAACGAGTGTCCAGAGAAGTTTATAAAACGAGTTGCATACTAAAGTCTATTCAAATCCAAGCTGGACTAAATGTAAACACAATCCTCCGAATCGACCAATAAGAACTCACAATCCGAGTCACACCATCAGAATCGACCAATAAGAACGAGTTATCATTCGTCTGGGCGTTTTTGTTTAGTCCAGCTTGGATTTGAATACACTTTATACTACTTTATCTACGACGAACACAAAGGAGAATTTAAAGCCAATTTTATTTGTTCAACATTTGAAATCTGTCAAATGTCAACGGATTTAACCACACTTTTCCCCAACTTCAGCCCGTGACTAAAACGCCATGAAGTCACAGCTTGTCAATGTAGAAGTAGATAATAGTATATAATGTATCAAGTTTGATAAACGCCATTTTATACACGAATTTAATTTAGGCACGAGCGAGCTTGCGAGCGAGTTCTTAAATTAATGAGTGTATAGAAAAGTTTATAAACGAGGTGCATACTATACTTTTTCTACGAAAAATACTTATTATTATCTTAAAATGATTTAAATCAAAAATTTGTATAGAGCGCCATCTATGAAACAACAGGGGAAACTGTCAAATGTCACAGTTTTACATTTTATAAACACAATTATAAAGGTTATAAATCGAAATGTATATTGAAAATTTACAGTTTTTAACAGCGAAAGTAAAGGAAATGTTTTATGAGGACTTTACAGTAGAGTCCGTGCCCGAATTTAAGTTATAGTTTACTGCCGGTGAAATTAAAAGGTCAGTACAATGTTCATATAAACTTTTCAAATATTGGCGTTGAGAAACTATTTAATATTTTTGTATTTTTGTATTGAGATAATAAAATAATTTTCACATTTAGTATTATTTTACAAGAAAGACACTTTATTTTAACGATTGTATGACATTTGACAACTGTCAACTAACTTAAAACTAACTTCAGCCCGTGACTAAAAACCTGTTGTTAACTTCAGCCCGTGACTAAAGCGCCGTAAAGCCACAACTTGTCAATATGTATTTAAAAGGTCACTTAGTGTCATGGAAACATTTTTAAAAATGTTTAAAACAAATTTTATTGATAACGTTAATATCTAACGATGTTCATTGATTCATAGGTGTTATGCAACATGAAACAAGCCTCAAAATTTTAAAAAAGTAATGGGCATGTAAATATTTTTAAGAATAAAAAATGCGGAAAGATACTAAATTAAAATATTCAAAATGAACTTTTCAAAATCTCAACAAAGATAAAAGCTGCATGGTTGCGCCAACTCTAGGCAATATTCCAACAAATTTACTTATTTTATAGAAAATTAAGAAAATATTGTGAGAAATAAAAAGTTTAGTAAAATAAAATTTATATGTTGAACCTAGAATAATTCTTAACACTAAAGTAATTAGAAAACCACATACATTGTCTGATGCTATTTACTCAGTTTTCATTCAATTAAGGGGAGTTCTTTTTAACAATTTCATGTTTTAAACAAAATTATTATATACAGAAAGTTTTTAAGGGTTTTCAAAAATGCTTTTTAACGAGATTTTAAAGGGCTATTATTTTTTAGTTTTATTGATTTTTTGAAATTAAAATGTTTTTAACTGGTTTTAAAGATTAGATTTTTGAACTAATTGTTTTTAAAAACCTCTAAACTGTTTAAAAATCTAATCTTTTAAATCCAATATCTTTAAAACATATTAAAAACGTTTTACTTTCAAAACATCGTTCAAACTAAAAATTAGAGCCCTTTAAAATCTCCTTTAAGGTATTTAAAGCCCCTTAAAAACCTTTATAGGTGCTCACAAACCCAACCCTAGTTTAAAATATTATAATTTATAAAGAATTTATTTTAGTTTTAACTTTTAGGTTTCTTTCATTGACTACGGTAACGTGGAAAAAATCCCCGTGGACCAAATATACGATGTTCCCAAAAATATACCGGAATTGAACACAGCCCCATTAGCAGTGGAGTGCGTTCTAAAAGGTATCAAACCAGCGGCTCAAACAAATCCGCAGGGCGTTTGGTCTGTTCGCGCAAACAACTTTTTCGCTGAGATTGTTGATAACAGAGTTCTAACTGCCAAGGTGACGATTTTTGTAACGATCTTTTTTCTTTTTTTTATTGGTTATTTTTTTTAGGTGTACTCAGTTGTTGACGATACTGTACATTTGATAATGTTCTACAAGGGTAGAGATAGAAGGGATTACTGTTTGAATGAGGTTTTGATTAAAGAGGGGTTTGCTGTGGAAAGCAAGGAAAGTTATTTATCTGAGGTAAGTAACATACATATTTAAAAAAAATTAATTGGTTAAATTAAAATTATTAATTAAATTAAGAAAAACTCAATTCTTCAAAATTATTATTGAAATATTTCTCTTTTAAAAAACGCGTAAAAAATAGAACATAAACAATTGAAGGGGCAAGAGGATGAAGGGGTTTCATTTAAATTAGAAAAGAACAGACAATATAATTGTAAATTAAAATAAATTTTGTATTCCAATTACAATATCTTTAGTAGACTGGGCCAAAAAAATTGACTATTTTTTTTTTTTGAAAAATATATAGAGAATGTCATTCAGAATGACAAAAAAAAAATTTCGTGAAAATTTGAGCCCTCAATATTAATTTTAAGAGGTCTATCATCGCTATTTTTGATTTTTAGTCATAATATGATGTTTTACGTTGGAACTGTCAAAACAATAAAGTGAAAAAAATTCCTTGTCACTTATTTTTATAAAAAATTAAATTCTCTACAAAAAAGGTCTGATTGAAAATTTTCGCCAGACGAGCCGTTTCCGTGTAATTGAGCTTAATAAATCGATGTGTTTTTTCGATTTGCCCTTTTTACTTTGAAATTTTGTAACTAATGAATCAATGAATATTTAAAAAAGCTCACGTCGGATTCTTAAAGGAAATTTAATGTTCTACAAAAAAGGTCTCGGAACATTTTTGCCTAAATTTAATTCTTCAAAAGTTATTCACGAAGAAAAAATTGAAATTTTAAGTTTTTCTTCGATTTTAATCGTGAATAACTTTTGAAAAATTAAATTTAGGCAAAAATGTTAAGAGACCTTTTTTGTAGAACATTAAATTTACTTTAAGAATCCGATGTGAGCTTTTTTAAATATTCATTGATTCATTAGTTACAAAATTTCAAAGTAAAAAGGGCAAATCGAAAAAACACATCGATTTATTAAGCTCAATTACTCGGAAACGGCTCGTCTGACGAAAATTTTCAATCACACCTTTTTTGTAGAGAATTTAATTTTATATAAAAATAAGTGAAAAGGAATTTTTTTCACTTTATTATTTTGACAGTTCTAACGTAAAACATCAAATTATGACTAAAAATAAAAAATAGTGATGATAGACCTCTTAAAATTAATATTAAGGGCTCAAATTTTCACGAAATATTTTTTTTGTCATTCTGAATGACATTCTCGATATATTTTTCAAAAAAAAAAATAGTCAATTTTTTTGGCCCAGTCTAATCTTTAGTCCTTTATTATTCAAAATGTTACTTAACCCCTTCATCCACTTGCCCCTTCAATTTTGACACAAACATAACCACATAACCATTTTGATTGTCAAAGTGGGCCTTTTGGGTATGAAGCATACTAATTTATGTATATTACATTTTATTAAAATGTTAAAATGATTTTAACATTATTACAGATTTTGTAATATTTTTTAACCTAAATATACAAGCTGTACCTGAAATGCCTTTACAAAGTAATATCACATAATCCTAAAACCAAAATAATGCGATATATTCAAAATTTGATAATAATCAAGATGTCAAAGTTGAAAGTTCGTTTTTGATTTTATTAAACAACATTGGAAAAAACAAACATATTTGAACAAATTCAGGTTTTTTTAGGACGGGAAAATTATATTTAAAAAAATGAAGGTAGTTTATAGAGGGCGCTGCCTGCGACACTTTGCATACGTTTAAATGGTCACAGTTTATTGCACCTTAGTGTTTTCACGGTTTTAATAAAAATATTAATTTTTTATCTTTATTACGTGAAAAAGGTAAATTTATTGTCGATGCGAGTAACTGGTTTTGAGATATTTTCATTTAAATTGTTCTGTGCAACCATTTAATTTTTTGTAATTGTTTGTAATTGTTTTTTATTTTACAAATTAATCACAATTTATACGCACATATCACAAAAACGGTTACTTGGAACTACATTTATAAGGTTTACCTTTTTTACATAATAAAGATGAAAAAAATAATTTTTATTAAAACGTGGCCTAAAAAACCAAAACAAGTTATTTAATGAAATCGAAAACGAACTTTCAACTTTGAAACCCTCTATCTTGGTTATTATGAACTTTTAGGTAAATTTTGTTAAATAGCATTATTTTGGTCTCAGGAATATGTGGTATTATTTTGTACAGGCATTTCAAGGACACGTAGTGTGTAATAAAAAAAATGTTCATATATTATATAATAGATATATATATTTTAAATTAGGGATCGACCGATACCGATATTTATATCGGCCTATCGGTTATATCGGCCTGATTTGCCGATTATCGGTATCGGCCGATTTTAAAAGCCTATCGGCCGATCGACCAATATTTTTTTAATGGAAATAAATTTAAAAAATAATATAAAAAAACCCACTTATATCAAAAATAAATATTTATTATCAATAAAATGTAGGTAACGTAATAACATCCCATACAGCACAAAGACGTACAAAGGACGTCCATATAACGTTAATTTTTGTACTTGTGGACGTACATTGAACGCCCATCGAGATACATCGGACGTCCTACGGATGTCCATTTAAGGTCGTTTTGTCACAGTTTTGGACGTCCATTGGATGTTACTTACGGACGTACATTTAATGTAAGCAATGGACGTGCTTATTTCACTGCAGCGGGTAGGTTAAATAAAAAGTCCTTAATTTCAATAAACTCTTTAGAACTATAAATAACAATATTTAAACATTTAAATTTAGAGCTTGCTATAAAGCCCCTAATTTAACATTAGGTAATAAACGTGTTAAAACAGTATATACTTGGTATACTGTTTTAACTCGTTTTTTTAAAACATACATTGCAATTTTTTATTTGTATTAGAGATAGGTACTATGTTCCACCAAATACTGTACAGGGTGTCCCAAATTGGTTGTCCCGTATAGGCTATCTCAGTAAATATAAATGCTAGAAAAAATTCGACCACGCATCCCCGTCCTCTTTTAAAGATACATTGAATGATGTCTTTGAATTTTCTCGATTTGCATTTGTTTCGGAGATATAACCTATTTTTCAATTTTTGCCAAATTCTTAAAGCTCTGTTAATATTTGAGTTACGAATACAGGAATAATACATTGTTTATTTTAAACCTTTAAAAAAAATTTCAAATGCCACTGGTCTAACCCCCCCGAAATTTTAGTCTAGATACGGCCCTGACATTGCTGGACGTTAAATGGACTTTACTTTCTGATCAAAAATGAATACGTCCATTATTAGACGTATTATGGATGTATTTACTACTATGTCCATTGGACGTAACCTAATGAAGATCCCTGGGACGTCTATTTTAGGTCTATGGACGTACGTACGTAAAATGGACCATTAATGGACGTCCATGGGATGTATTGTGCTGTATGGGATAGCTATTTATAATTATTCTTTGATTATGAATTAAAAATAGATAAAATAAAACTTAATACATACCTATTGCAACTGTAAGGTGATATTCAAATATTTGGTTAATATTGATAATTTAGTTTTGGTAAGTCAAAATGTTTACATTAAATTGTGATATTATAGTTTTTTATAATGCAACATGAATTAAATTTATTTCTTTAACACTGTGGTTGACATACTATTGTAATGAATAATTCGAGTTAGAGGGAAAATTTGACTTAAAGGAATAACGACTGTATTATATTTTTACAAGTTACAAATTAAATACCTAGCTGAATCCGTTATCTGACGATATTTCACTGGGTGGTGTTTCGACAGATGGTATTTCAATTTGGACGTGTTGTCTGTTTTTCCTTTGCCACCCAATGAAACAAAATTGCACATTCGTTTTTCTGTATTTTTTAAAAATATTTTCATAAATGAGAGAATAAAATTTAATCATAGTTGGCAGGTTGATTTTTAATCTTATAAATAAATTAATTTTATTTGTTTTAAGACCGTAAAAATAACTAAGAATAATTAACAATATTAATAAATAATCTTATTGTATTTACAGAGTTCATGATTTATTTAATTTTCTTAATAATTAATAAAAAAAACATAAATTTTAGAAAATTGAGGCTCGAATCAGAGGGTAATGTTGCCATATACTATTTTTGATTTCGATATATTGTTTTTTATTTAATAATAAGAAAATTAACTAAATCATGAACTCTGTAAATACAAGAAGATTATTTATGAATATTATTATTAATTCTTAGTTATTTGTAAAACAAATAAAATGTTATCTATTTATGAGATTTTAAATCAACCTGACAACTATGGTTATATTCCATACTCTCTCCTATAGGCCAAAACCACAGTCTTAAATACGACTGTTTCGCTTGCCTTGTTTTCTGTTTTATTTGCTATCCTTATCTACGGCTTTACTTATTCTATTGTATAAACACTTTTTTTTGTTAATGTTTTTGATTTAACAGATTTTTCCTTCCTAAAATCCTCATTTAGATTTCCATTACATTTGAACTGATTCCTTTAGGAAAACCACGTAAAACGCACGCTAATCCAATCGACAGACAACCCGAACCAAGCGGCCGTACTGTCGATGGGCAAGGCGGAAAGAGTGTGCGACGAAAGCAACAATCCGAGCTTTACAACGCTCGACGACCAATACGCGACAGTTACGCAGCTGAAAGGTCCCTACAGCCCGCTCGAGATGCGCCTGTATGGTTGCGTGGAGAGCTCTTGCAACAAAAGAGTGGACATCGAGAGCAGCAGCGTTAATGCTGTGCTATTGGATTCGCAGGCCAGTGATTCACATTCCATGTAAGTTAAATAATGTTTTTTTTAAATAATTTTGATATTTTCTTATGTTGCATTTAATATGTTCTATTTTCCTTCGGAGGGGACTTTAAACCCGCTCAAGCCATGCAGTTGGCTTCTGGGACTTCTTAGGAAGTAAGGGTGGAACTAAAAGAGCACTTTTTACGACATACTTTATGCTTATAATATATACAGGGTGTCCCGAAATTAGGGGGCCAAACTTAAACAGTGTATTCTCATAGAAAAATAAAACTTTTTTGTTAAATAAACATATATCAAAAAATGCCCCCTAACGGAGCTACGGCCCCCAAAATAGGAGCCTAAGAGGTTAATTATTTTAAAACTTTTCCTAAAGGGTTGAACATGAAGAAATGAGTTTTTGGTACTTTGGTAGTTTTGACATGCTGAATCTAGATCTAAGATCAAAACTTTTAAAATTTAATCTTAGGCGTAAAATTTGGGGGGGGATAAGTTACAAAAATATCCCCAACTTTTTTAAAATTTAAAATATTTTAATTTTTTTTTATAAAATTATTAAAATTTATAGTTTTTTACGAAAAATAGGTACTCTTGATTTAAATCGCTCAGATGCACCATTTTCGAGAAAAAGTTTTAATGAAAATATGAGATGTGTATGCTATGCAGTAATTTATAAATGCATTTTTCTCGAAAATGGTGCATTTGAGCGATTTAAATCAAGAGTACCTATTTTTCGTGAACAACTATAATTTTTCATAATTTCATAAAATATTTTAAATTTTAAAAAAGTTGGGGCTATTTTGTAAATTTGCCTCTCCAAATATTTGTTACGCCTATGATTTTAACAGTTTTGAACTTAGATCTAGATTCAGCATGTCAAACCTACCAAAGTACCGAAAATTCATTGCTTCTTGTTCAACCCTCTGGAAATAGTTTTAAAAAATGTATCCTCTTAGGCTCCTATTCAGGGGGCCGTAGCTCCATTAGTGAGCATTTTTTGATACATGTTTATTAAACAAAAATGAACTGTTTAAGTTTGGCCCCTTAATTTCAGGACACCCTGTAATATAATATAATATTTTTTCTACCCCCACCTTTAAAACGCCCATTATTGTATTTCCATGATACTAAGTGACCTTTTAAATACACATTGACAAGTTGTGGCTTTATGGCCTTTTAGTCACGGGCTAAAGTTACCTTTAAGTTAGTTGTCAGTTGTCATAAAATAATAAAATCATCAATAATAAAAACACCAATATTTAAAAAGTTTAACATTGTACTGAACTTTTAATTTCGCCGGCAGTAAACTAGATTTAACTTAATTTAGGTTGGGAGACTCCACCAGATTTCCAATTTGGTTTCTCTATTGTTTCTATTGTTTTATAGATTTTATAGAAGTATTTGTAGTAGAAAAAGTATAGTATGCAACTTGTTTATAAACTTTTCTAGACACTCATTTAGCCACAATTAAAAAATATTAAAACGTTTAACATTTATATAATTAAGAAACTAATAAATATGGATGATATTAAAGCTTTTCTTTCAGATAAATATGTATTAATTTATTTAAAGCTTGCTTCTGTAAAAAAAATATAAAATCATTCAATTAAATAATAAACTCAATAATATTATTTAGAAATTTCCAAATTTGTTTTCAAATTTAACATTTTTAGATAGATTTTTATTTACTATTATTATTTAATAATTTTAAGTATATTTAGGTTTAAAAAACATATTTTTTTATCAAATTAAAAGAAATTAAAACAGCGTTTGTTTTGTTTTTTCAAATTTTCAAAGTTTATCCAATTTTTTTTTCAATAATTTTTTTTTATAAAATTTATATTTTATCGTTTATAAATGCTCGAGCATTTATGAGAATTTATGAGCGCTTATGAGCGCTTTGCAAAGCGCTCGATCATCTGCCATCTACACAAAAAAGTAAAAAAAAAACAATTTATGACAATACAGCCATTCCACGCTACTCGGAAATTTTTGTAGCGTACTTTACAATAAAAAATTGTTTAATTTTATTTTAATTGTAAATTAGGTTGTTTTATAATCCTTTTGCGAGATTTCTTAAATTAACTTAACTTTCTTTTTTTAGAATGTTGGTAGCTGGCAGCGTGATCCAGGGCCAGACAGGCAACAACATTAAACTCCGCCAGACCACCCTGATGCCAAACATCCCAGGCTTGCCGGCCGTCATGGCCATGCTGTTCTGCCCGACAATGGAACCGAAACTGATAGACGACGCGTCGCGCGTCGCGTCGCTCCTCTGCGGCATGGGGTGCCACGAGGTGACCGAGAAGCCCGTGCATCCGTCGCACGACATGACCATCGTTCTCGACACGATACTCAAGGCCGACGAGATCGACGAGGTAAAAGTTTATTTTATGTGATTTTTGCATAATAATTCTAAAACGCCTTTACCAATCTTTATGAAATTTTATATAAAAATACTTCAACTTATATTTCTGTTTACGTGTTCGAAGGTTTTTCGAGAAAATATTTTTTTTTGCCTTTTATTTAATAATAAAAAATACTTTCGAAAAATAAATTTAAGGGAATTTTTTTAATTAAATAAAAAATATGCTGCAGCCATTCCACGCTACTCGGGAACTTTTGTAGCGTCCGTTACAATAAAAAATTGTGAGTAAAAGCTACCGTAATTAAATTAAATACTATTACAATAGTTACTATTGCAAACATGTTTATTATGCTTGTAATAATTAGGCTTAAGCTTATAAGCATCATAATTTACTCACAATTTTTGATTGTAACGGACGCTACAAAAATTCCCGAGTAACGTGGAATGGCTGGCTGTTAAAGGCCGTATTTTTGTTAGTATACCCTGAACATTTTGTACAGGGTGATCCCCTATAATGTCGCCCCCTTTAACTTTTTTATTTTAAGTGTCCCAAAAAATTTAAAAGAGTGGTTATGTAGGTACTAAAAAATACTTTTTTTCTACGTTTTAAAAAAAAATGGCAAATTGATCAATATACAGGGAAAAACAAAAAGTTTATTTTTTTTTCAATGGATCACCCTATATATGAATTTATTTTTCGATTCCTTGTAAAGTTCTGAGCATAATTCATATAACAAACCATATCCTAAATTCAACTGTTTCTGAAATATTCGCATTCGAAATGTTATCATTAAATGTTTTTTTAAACTGTTAGAAATCAAGAAGCCTCAGTATACCAACATTTTTATTGAAAATAAATTACTATAGTTACATAATGTCAAAATGTCTTATTAAATAAGTAAAAATGACGTACTCAGACAGAGAAAGACAAACTATTTCAACTTATTATCTTAAAAATAATTTAAATATTTCAGAAACAGTTGAATTTAGGTATATGGTATATTATATGAAATATGCTTGAAATTTTATAAGGAATCGAAAAATAAATACATATATAGGGTGATCCATTGAAAAAAAGTAAACTTTTTGTTTTTCCATGTATATTGATAAATTTTCCATTTTCTTTATAAGTAGAAAAAAGTATTTTTTAGTACCTACGTAACCACACCTTTAAATTTTTTGGGACACTTAAAATAAAAAAGTTAAAGGGGGGCGACATTATAGGGGATCACCCTGTACAAATCAAACGAACAGTAACGAAGATACAGCGCTTCAAAGTCGGTAAAAATGACCCCTTTTTGATTATTTTGCTGATAAGTGGTCATTTTTGACGACTTTGAAGCGCTGTATTTTCGTCACTATTCGTTTGATTTGTACAACATTTTTAGGGTATACTAACAAAAATACGGTTTGTCACAGCATATGTTTTATTTACTTAAAAAAATTCCCTATAAAAGTTTTTTAAGCGTTTTTTATTATTAAATAAAAGGATATTTTCTGGAAAAACCCTTGAACACGTACACTGAGATATAAGTATTTTTATCCAAGTATCCCACCACTGCAAAGCATTACCTTTTATCACCGGGTCGGCCCATACGCCCGATTTAAGCTTAATTTTCAAATATATCCGTTTGTCCGTTAATCCGACCATCCGGGAGCGCTCTTATTGGTCCAATTATAATTCGAAAATTATGACATTTTATGGGTCCGTCAAGTTTCAACTTCGTACGTCTGACGGAGAAAGTTAATAGTATATTACACTACAAGGGCCGAAAGTTGAATTTTCGGCATCATGACGCGTTTGGCCCGTGTGGTGTAAGTATACAATTTTTCTTTATACATCGGTCGAAAGTACTTACTTTCGTCCCTAATAGCAGGGACGAAAGTTTACTTCGGTCGAAAGTACGTACTTTCGTCCCTAATAGCACAGGGAGTGGACGAAAGTAAGTACTTTCGAACAAGGTATGAAGAAAAATAATTTTAACACATCCGTCACTATAGTCAACTGAGATATAAGTTAAAGTATTAATATCCAAGTATCCCACCACTGCAAAGCATTACCTGTGTTTGGTGGAACGGAATTTTCACCCCTAGGAGGTCGTGGCGCAACTATTTGCGTTCGTATTTATTTTTAGTGAATTTCAAGATGTTCTATTTGTTCAACTGTATGGAACGCCGTTGTATTTTTTAATCAGGAATTTCTAATATCACTTTAGAATTTCAGATATCTGAAATTAATTTCAGATATCTAAAATTATAGGTATTAAAAAGTACTTTGGCGTTCCGTTAACGCCAAAATATTTTTTAATAAGGAATTTTTGTTGTAACTTTAACTAATAGTCATATTTGTAATTACAATTAATTGTGTCAACTGTTTTAAACAATATTTATAATCCAACTAATTTTAAACTCAAAAATAATGTGGAATTAAAAATATCAAAGTGACCCTAAAATTAAAGTCAATTTTTAATTCAAAGTGATATTTGTAATTCACAGGAATTATCGATATCAAAGTGACCAGAAAATTCAAGTTAATTTTTAATTCAAACTGATATTCATAATTCGCATGAATTATAAATATCAACTTGAATTTTTAATTCAACTTGTTTTCAACTAAAAAATGATGTAGAATTAAAATATTAAAGGGAAACTAAGAATTATTTGATATTTTTAAATGAAAGACAAATTTTTAATTCCCACAGTTTGGACACCCCTGGTAATGTTGACGGTTCAATTTATCTACTACAGTACCTAGCTTTAATCTCAGTTAAATTATTTTGCGGCACTGTTTGTTTATATAATACCGTTTTTATTAATAATAGGCATAATTAATTAAATTACCTGATATTTTAAATATTAGGTAATTTGCCGCAAAATAATTTAACTGAGATTAAAGCAAATATACCTACTGTAGTAGATAAATTGAACCGTCAACATTACCAGGGGTGTCCAAACTGTAGGAATTAAAAATATGTCTTTCATTTAAAAATATCAAATAATTCTTAGTTTCCCTTTAATATTTTAATTCTACATCATTTTTTAGTTGAAAATAAGTTGAATTAAAAAATTCAAGTTGATATTTATAATTCATGCGAATTATGAATATCAGTTTGAATTAAAAATTAACTTGAATTTTCTGGTCACTTTGATATCGATAATTCCTGTGAATTACAAATATCACTTTGAATTAAAAATTGACTTTAATTTTAGTGTCACTTTGATATTTTTAATTCCACATTATTTTTGAGTATAAAATTAGTTGAGTTATAAATATTGTTTAAAATAATCGATACAATTAAAAATATGACTAGCAGTTGGAGTTGCAACAAAAATTCCTGATTAAAAAATACAACGGCGTTCCATACAACTGTTTACTGGCCACATCTTAAAACTATTTTTATTTTAATACATTTTTTTAGGATCTTTCCCTACTTATAATAGAAAAATGAATATTTTCATTAAAAAAATTCACAAAAAAACAGAACTGTTTGTATTTTTCTAAAACATTATTTACATCCAAAAACAAATTGACGAAAAATTAAAAAAAAAATCGTCAAAATTTGAAAAATCATTACTAGTATTAAGAAAAAATAATCCACAATGTCACACCTATGTGAGCATTTAAAAAACCGGCTTCCTCACTGTATTTTATTTTTGTATTTTATATATGATGAAACTTAATTTAGATAATCTTCTCAACTAAACTAAAGATATCTTCTTCTGTCCATTTTCCAGTAACTTTTTCTGTAAATCAACATTTGCTAATGTATCATAAAATATAATCAAAAGTATTTTTTTTCAAAGCTAACCGTTTTGACAATATAAAAGAAAAATCTTAAATTTTTATTAAAAATATCTGGGAAATCTCAAAATGTACCTATGTAAATTTAGTAGACTAGGAAATGTTTTTAAATTAAAAATTTTAATATATCACCAAAAAAAACATGTACATTTATTAGTTAATAATTTTGACAGAACCAAAAAAAGGGACACATTTATTATAAGTTTGCCATCTTTTGTTTTTTCAATATAAATATGTGACAAATCAATTTTAAGCCTAGTTTTCAAAAAATATCAGGTTTAAAATAACCTTTAAGAAGATCTGCAAGCTGCTGAACCAACAAAAAAAAATTGCCCAAAAGGTTGAAATTTAAAAATAAAAAAGGCCATATAGACATTTTAATTATTTTCTAATATTTGCTTTACAATTACTGAAATAATTTCAGTTAATGTATTTTTACTTTATGTAGGTATGTAATTAGAATTGTTTGCATTAATTAAAAAAAAATCCAAAAATATAATAATCAAATGTATATAGTCTATAAAAACCATATTTTATAATTTTAAAAACACATTTATAATTTGAACGTTAATTTTGTATTTTTTGCCTATTTACATTTATATTTTTAAATATGGAGGGTATATTTATTTTTAGATCAACAACTTGAGACATTTGATGAACAACTGTGTAAAAGCTATGAACAGCAATTACACAAATAACAATAAAATAGATCAAGACACAATTTTTCAAGCACAAAGAAACATTATTCAAGCACTATTCAGGTAAGCTAAATATACCATGTTGTAATCAAAGTTTTACTGCAAAATAGTATATTATGATAAACGCCATTTTAGCGAGCGAGTGCTTAAATTAATGAATGTCTCGAAAAGTTTATAAATGAGTTGCATACTATACTTTTTATACGAAAAATACTTTATTATTATCTTAAAATGATTTAAATCAAATAATATAATAAGTACCACTTTTTTATTTTAATTTTATCATAAATAGGTGTATAAAATTAGTAGTTTACTTATTTGTTCAAAAATGCATTTTTGTGAGATTATTTCACAAATTCGTAAAATTAATGAAAATTTTTGGGTTAGCCTTACAAATTGGCCAGGGTATGTATTTTGCAATTTGAAACATTTCTGTGAATTTCAATAGAAGACATAAAGTTATGTTAAATTCATATTGCGATTTTAAATTTACATTTGTGTTACTAATTCCTGGTTTAAAAATATTATTGGATATTTATTATCAGATAAAAGCATGGGCTTTGACAATACAAATAGCTAAGCTATCTTGGGACACACCTAACAATACAAGTTTTTTAATTTTTATTATTTAAAAAACAATTCACCTTGATGAAGTCAAGAAAAAATCGTAAAAACATAATTATTTTCTTACTTTAGCATTATATACCGAAACCGCACATCAGTAAACAGATGTGATGTAAAATTCGCAAACTACTGGGGAAAATCGGTCGCCGATGCAGTGGTTTTGGAACCGGAAGTATACAAAGAACCCGAGGACATTTGGCCCTTGCTTTGGTTCGTCAAAATACACGAACCCGTGTCCGAGCAAAATGAGATGATATCAAGAAACTTGGAAGAAATCTTGTCTATGGCAAAAAGGTACAAATAATATTTTGCAGTATTAAAGATCTTTAATACTGTAAAAACATTAATTCTACTAAATATTGTTTTATTCATATTTTTAATTGTGACGAGTGGGGCAGGTGTCGCTGGAATGCCCCAAAATAGTTTTATCAAGTTATTTTATTATTTTTAAAATTTTCTATAAATATTTTTTGCACTAGTTGAATTATAAAATAATTCATAATTATGCATGTAAATAAAGAAAAAAACACTAAAAGAATGATAAATTTATTATTAATTTTATTAAAATAGATTTATCAAGTTATTTTATCATTTTTAAAATTTTCTATAAATATTTATTGCACTAGTTGAATTATAAAATAATTCATAATTATGCATGTAAATAAAGAAAAAAACAATAAAAGAATGATACATGTATTATTAATTTTATATCCTTACTATGCTATGTGCACTAAACAATTTTAAAGTTTTTTATCTTATGTAGGTATATACTTTTTTGTTTTTAGCCATATTCCCCCCAAACAAGTGGACTGCCTACTGTGTTCTGTAACATTGTATGATGTTTTTGAAATAAGAAAACACCTGATTTCCAAGGAACACAAAAATAATTACCAGGCTTATAAAGAAAGTTGTTGTTTTGACGATTAAGCTACGTTTTTTTAGTTTTTAAGAATATGACTTTTTATTAAGCATGTTTCCCGTTTTATTTTTATAACAAAATGTGATTTATTTTCTTTAAACTTTTTAATAAATGTTTTTTTAATTTATGTTGTTTTATCCATCAAATCCAATAAAAAACAAAAATCCTGTTATATATTTTTTGTTTATTAAAAATTAAAACTTAACAATACAAATATTTATTCTGATTCCAACTCCCTTTCTTCTTCATTTTCTTCCTCTTCTAATTCTTTATCCCAATCCTTCATTTTAGCACTCATCATAAAATCATCTTTCAAAACACTCCATGTTGAGTCTTCCTTTTTCAATTTTTTTTGCCCGACAGTCTCCTTTTCAATATTCGTCGATTTTTCCCCCATTAAAACGTCCAAAAATGCTCTCTTATCAATATTTTTCATTACTTTTTCTTTACGTACTTCTAAAGGACCTGCTTCTTTCAATTTCTCGCTTATATCTTTTTGTTGCATCCTTACAGCATTAAATAGTTGAACGACACCTTTAGTTGCTATTTTAGATAAAATCCTTTCCCTATCTTTTTCTAAAATATTTGGCTTCACTCTTATATTGGGCAATTCTTTTTTCTAAAAAAATCAATATAATCCATGAAACTGCATTAGACATAAATAGTAATTGTAATGTTATTATTTGTAAGGTATGTGTATATGTATATTTAATCAATAAAATAATCAAACCAATATAATTAGTATTTTTTTATTTATGTGTTTATTTGTATATTTAATCAATAAAATAATCAAACTAAGGTCATTGCAAACAAAAATATACTAGTGGAGACCTTAAGATATTGACATTGTTAACTTTAAGAATTAATAAATCAATTAAAGTTTAACAAAAGAAACATTTCAAATAAATTTTGTAAAAGTATCAGGCAGTTATTTGCCAAGGGGCCAATTAATATTTTGTAATTAAATTATGTCTTGTTAAATTAAATTAAAATTTAGAAAAATATAGTCTTTATAGCTCCTGGTACTATATCTGTTCTTGAATGAATTAATTTACAAGTATGTATCATTAAAAATGTCCAGTTTTTAAGGTAGTATAAATGATTTTCACTCAACAGTAGTATCAAGAACATTATTAATAGAGTGTTCTTGGGAAGTATCTTCATAATATGAAGAGTTTGATAAATAAATAACAGTAGTTTGTGACATCAATTTCATGGTGCCAATGTAGTAAAAATAATTAAAGTATCAGTAAAAACTAAAAACCACATAAAAAGTAAATGAGTAGTAAGGTTTAAAACTCATATTTTTGTGTTTATTAAGATGTCTGCACAAAACTTGAAATGAACCTATTAAAAAGTGCTAAAAATTGTTTGAGATTTCCATAAAAAATAAACTGTAATAATTAAATGAATCAATGACATCAAGAACAGTACAAGTCCAAAATTTAAAAGTTTTGCTAAATTAGGGTTTTTATAAAATTATTTCTATAGTTTAAAATGCATTTTTGTGAGATTGTTTGTATTCTAAAAAAATGCATTTTTGTGAGATTGTTTGTATTCTAAAAAAATGCATTAAGTATAAAATAAAAAAAAATGTTTTATGAAATAACTTGTAAACAATATAAATTTTGGACTTGTACTGTTCTTGATCTCACCAATTCAATTTCTAAGCCATTAACATGATTCTCTTTTGTTGTTTGAGATTAGAAACGAATTTTTGAAAGAATGTATGCAAAATATCACTTGTGCAGAAGTGTTATTTCCTACAGATTTAAAAAAATAATTTCCAAACTTGAGAAACAAAATAGATCTTTTATGGAAAACTCATGAGCAAGCTCTTGAGATACAAAATACATGTGCAGTATGAAAACAAATTTAACTTTAAAAATGATTTTCTTGGAATTTGTGCTGTAAAAAATCTAAAATTATTTGTGAATGTGTCTGATTCCTCACAAAATCAAATATTAAATTTTGAATACATTCTATGGATACTACCTTAATAGGGCCAATCATTGTACTGGATACACCTACATCTCACTTACTTTTTTTCTTAGAGGTTGTTTGTCATCCTCATCATCACTATCGGGCTCTATTTGTTCTTCCTTAATGTCTCCTTTAGATGTTTCAACCTCAAAACCGGCAGGTTTGGCTTTCTTTTTAACATCGTTTATCTTTTTGGCCTTTGATAACACCAAAGTTTTCTTTCCTTTTGGTTTGTTCGTTTTTAAAATCTTAGAAATCGAGTCAGCCCATCCCGCATTTATAACGCCTTCTTCGTAGTCACTTTCTCCGCCTTCTGAGTTTGAGTTTTCGTCATCTGCTTCTGAAGATAAATTTTCTTCATTGTCTAAAATACAAGAAAATGCCTTTAGATGAGTAAACTCTTGTTTAAATTAGTATTTACCCGATGTTTCTTCTACTACTTTGCTCTTGGTTGCCATTACCGTCATATTTTCTATAAAATTGCTATTTTATTGTAAAAAACGTGTGCGAATGTAAATATTTTGATTTTGAGGTTAAGAGTAAAGTAAGGTTAGTCTTCTTCTGTATTATTCAGTTAAACATTGTTGCCGGATGAATTTCATGAAAGTTACCAACCAAAAATTAGAAAATACCCGATTTTACCCGCAATACTAAAAAATTGTTATATTTAAAATTTTTTAGCGCATTTAGGTAAAAAATGAATTAAATTTTAAATTTGTCAAGAAAGATGGTAACTTGCAAACGACAACACTGCAATTGAATGTGAACATTCAGAACATACCATGGTTTAACATGTAGCTTGTAACATATTATGTTCTGTGCTGTAGGCTCTATGGTTCCATGCGTAGAAACAGTATTATAGTTTTATTTCTATTGTTTCATGATTCAGAAATAATTAAATCAAGAAGACTACCATGGAGCCTACACCGTGTAGGCTCCATGAAGACTACATTCAGAAGGAGTAACTTGCTAGGTTGGGGACCCAAACTTGGGGTTAAGAATTCTGACCCCCACCTAGCAAATATAAATTATTACAAATAGGTATACCTATTTGTATATATTATATATATAATACAGAGTGAGTCGGGAGGAAAGTTAAAAATGTTTAGGGTGTATTATACTCATAAAAACAATAAAAAAAACCCTTATGTTGTAATCCGATTTATTTTTTATTGTTTTCTAGATACAAGGTTTTGAAAAAACTTCCTAAACAATAATTTACGGAATATTTTAATTATTGTTTTCAGCAACTCTTTGACAGATGCTAAGTTAACAGATGACAGATAACAGGTGACAGGTGACATATGACATTAAAAAAAAACTTGAAATATTTCATTTAGTTGGAAAAGTAAAATTTTTAAAAATTTCAAATGAAATTTTCAATCCCAAAATTTCAACATTGCCTGTGAAAGTTTCAGAAGTTTCATTGAAAGTTTCGCAATTTACTGAAAATTTCGCATAATTTTCACATGCCGCCTTTAATAATAATTTACAACAGATTCCGAATCGACCAATAAGAAAGAGTTATCAAGCGTCTGGGCGTTTTTGTTTAGTTCGGCTTGGATTTGAATACGCTATAAGTAATTATTGTTACTTATATGCAAAAATTAATTTAAATAATTTAATTCAGTTACCAATTTAATTTGTACCTAAATTAAATCAGACTTTTTTTAAAAGTCATGATTAATTTAAACTTTTACTTTTGATATAATTGCATCGGAAAACGGATAAAAAATGCCTTTGGCTCATAAAATATTGATGAATTGAAACTTAAGTTTCTTCAATTTTCGTAAAATTTCAGTAAAATATTTAAAAATCATAAATTTATATAAATATAAAACAATGAAAGTGGCACAATCTCATTAGCTTACCAAAAAATGCTATATCTCTTTTAGTTTTAGTAATTTTAAAAGGAAATTTGTGGTAAACATAGGTATTTACTATTTATATTATTGGTGCAGGGGACCACAGAGGGGAAGGAGGTAAGAGAGGCAATTTGCCATGGTCCCCGAGTGGGCTTATTTCAATATTATTATATTACATTTAATGTGATTGAAATTTATTGAAAGTTTCAATAAATTTCAGAAATTTAGAAATTTAGGAAATTTTAATAAATTTCATAAATGTCATGAAAATTCCAAGTGAAATTTCAAGTACAAGCAAAAAGTGAAATTTTCCCAACCCTAGCCATGGGGCCGGTACGGCCGAGCAAAAAGTTATCTTTTTTTCGCAAACTTCAATTTAAATTCTGCTTGCGCAAAACTTGTTTATTTAATGTCCTTATAAACTGATATAAATTTGGTGTGGGTCCCATATCTAATAATTGAGATATCGGTATACCCAAAATCCACCAGCCGCCACTGATACACATTTATCTACATTTTCATTAAATTAGTGATTTTTTTTCGCCCACCGAATTTTAAGATACCACCATCAACTTTTGATTTTCCTATGGAATTTAACATGGTTGAATAGAAAACAAATCAAGGAATCCAACGATGTATCAAACTACATACGTTAAGGCGGCCATTATATAATTTATATAAAAAGAAAAGATGCTGTTGGTAACTTAAAATATACCTACAGTAGCGAAGAAATTTGATGAAAATATAGATTAATGTGTAATTTTAGTAAACATTGTTTACATGTAAAACTTACTTTATTTCAAAATCCCAGGAATAACAAAGTTATAATGATTTTTGGATTTAAAAGGTTTTTAGATTTTTTTTTAAATATTTTTTTTAAAAATTTATCAATTTTATGTTAATAGGCAGATGAAGGTGAAGCTGCTAACGTGGCAATAAAGGCGCCCGTATATTATAAATATAAAAGGTTTAGTAATCGAAAAGATAAAATCCAAGGATCAGACACTTTTACCAATTAGACTGTGGCAAATACGCTAAAGAAGTATCGCTAGTAGCGCCACCACTCGGTTGTTATCATCGTAACAAAAGTATAACTTTTAATAATCAGCTGTCAAACGCTTATGTTACAAACGATTGTTTTTGAGAATAAAGCCGAAAAATGTAAAAAAATATCGAAAAAAAAAACCGTGGCTCGATTTGTTGTGTTGTTGGGTGAATTTCGAGAGGAAATCCTGGATTGAGTTTTTACAACAATGTTAATCTGAATTAAGAAATAAATTGCATACAGTTTCTGTAATAAAAGTTGTACCTATTAGATACAATAAATACACATTTTAGTAGTGAAAAGTGTAAACATTTCAATTCAGTAAAAATAGTCAAACAAATAAGTCGTCTAAATTTAAACAGCATATAGCATTATTAAAAGCGTTGATTAAGAAAGTCTCCACTCAACGGTAAAATACCATTATATTATGTATTATATTATTATGTTGCCATAAATTCGTAGGTAGTATATATTTTGTTGTTTAAAATGCAGTTGTCGGCGTTTTTTAGAGAACTCAAACACAAAAATAGATACTTCTTTAGCGTATATGGCAAATCTGACAGTTTAGGTTTACAAATTCTTTAGTTAACAAATTTGACTTAAAATGAGTCAAAATTTCGGCCACTATTTTTGGTTAGTTAGTAATTATTGAAAAATTGATAATTCGCTAGATTATTAGGATGCTAAAATAATTCTAAAAGGGTTTTGCGATTTTTTTTTCGAAATTTATTGTATTTTCTGCCGATCTGTGTATTTTTTGTTGACGAATTATGAGGGTTTGGAAAAAAATCGGAAACTTGCATATGGGTCATTAATAATATTAAAATAGATAACAGATCACAAACATTTTATCACATTCTTTATTAGTACTGAGGAGGTACTTATTTGTTATTTCATTTTAGTTTTAGAATTCTGTTTTATATAAAACCTATAAAAGTTTTCACTATTGGAATATGGTGGTGACAATATTTTTATATTTAATTGAAAAATGTTCTATTAATTTTTGTTAGTTTAAGTTCTTATTTATGAATCTAGTTCTATATTAGCTGTCTCGATTTATTATTTTGACAGGGAGCCTTAATAGTATAATGACCCATATGCTCGAAAGTTATGCGTGTTTTAATGTCGAGGCGCCGCACTACTTGCGATACGTGCAATTAGGGTTGTGGAATTGACAGGTCAAATTGTTTTTGGTCAATTGACCGTCAATTGACCGGTCAATTGACCAAAATAAAATTAAATAAAATATCAATAAATATTACTGTGATTTATTTGTACTTAATAAATAGGTAATTAAAATAAGTTACCAAATTTTTTTTATTATAAAAGTTATGTCCATCTTTAGAAACGTTTGTGCGGCTTTAAAAAGTTATGTTTCGCTATTAAAAAAGATATGTCCCGCTTTAAGGGCAACGCGCCGTCCGGCCTAGCAACCCCTCGACTCGGGGAACCACCAAATTGTAAATGATGTCGATAATGCACGATCTCAAAAATTTTGAGATTCACGGGTAATTGTTGATACCTAAATAAAATGCTGCAAAAATTAAATATTTTTGACCGGTCAATTGACCTGAATAGGTAGCGGTCAATTGACAGTCAATTGACTGGTCAATTGACCGCGGTCAATTGACCATCTCCAACTCTAAGTGCAATGTGCAGCATTATACACGTTATAACGTGAAATCGTGTTGAAAAGATTATGTCATAGCCTATTTTTCATTATAAATAAAGATTTTTAATTTAAACTTAATTCCCGTGGTTTTTATTTTTAAAAAGTCCCAAGTATCCAATTTACAATAAAACGATAAAAAAAATAATCTGCCATTGTCTCCGCCTCTGTTTTCTTAGTTTCCTGCAACTATTCCGACGTCTTATATCTTTGGGATTACCTTTGCGAAAACGTCCCGAAGGAATTCGATATGACAACTTTCGCGTCGGGAGTTTAGTCGCTAGGGAAGAGATTGTATGTTGGGGAGCGAGCGGGGGATTGCTGACATGTACACAATAGAAAATTCGCCCCTATATGTTTTCTAGTTTGTTCCACATCGATTCTATTCAATTAAATAAATACCTTTTGCTATGTCGGGCAGAAGGTTGGGGACCAGATAAATTTGTGCGTTTTTCGTCTCTATCTATCTTCTACTCTTATTTGATTTCTCCGTCTGTCCTGAATCACTTGTTCGGTAATGGCTATCTGTCGATTTAATAAAGATCAAATGAGACGTTTTTTAATCAAGTTTATAGGAAGCATAAGGTAAAATGCATTAAAATGGTAACATTGAAATTTTGGCCAATTTTTGGTGGCTGGTCTTTTTTGCTGGTGAGTGTATAATTGACAATTAAACAAAAAAAAATCATCAGATTTTTAAAAATACCTATTAAAAAGAAGAAAAAAACGTATAGAATATGGAGCTGTGCCAGGATGGTAAGATTTTAACATACCTACACAGTAAAAAAAGTTTATTCCAAGAGGTCCACTTTTTTTATTGTATTAACAAATATAATATAGAAACCTGTACTATAGTACATATGGTATACACAGTAAAAGGTTTTTAATAATATTAATGTAATAGTAAATGAATTTACTTATCATTTTAAGTAAGATATTTTACTTTTATGTTTATTCATATTGGCGAAAGA